GTTCCTTGCCACCCTTACAGCTCCTGCAGTCTCTGTACCACCTCCCACTACTAGCTGGAAGGAAGTCCGTGGGGGACATTTCAGGTGCCAAGGTGCTAAGGGCCTGTGCTGGCTTAGGAGTGCTAACAAGAAAGCTGCTCTGTTTTCCCCCCTTTCCCCCCTTGGTCCCTGGCCTTCCACTCCTTGGAGCTGGCTGATTGCAGGGCTTTGGTGCCTCAGAAGCAGTGGGTGCAGGGTCTTGGCTCTGAAAGTCCCTTGCGGGGAGCAGGGAGTGAGCAGGTCCTCTCAGGTGTGTATATGTGTATGCGGGGGGTGGAGGGCATTGGGGAGGTGGGGTTGGGATCCCAGCCTTCCCTTCAAGAGGCAGGCAGCTCTGGGGGTTGGGGGAAGAGCTCACTGACCAGGACCCAGGGCCCCCACTGCCTCCTCTCCTGGCCTTGGGGAGCTTTGCACAAGGAGACAGCCTCCAGGTCTATAGCACCTACCTCATGGGCACTGAGGCGGGTGGGGAAGGGCAGGTCCAGCTCTGGCAATGTTTGGGGGGGCATACCAAAGAATCCAGGGGCAGGGATGGGGGGAGGGCAAGCTGGCCCTCTCCTTCCTCTGCCCAGATTGGGGTTGGGGTCCTCTCCTCCAGCTGTAACCATTTCTACCTCATTTTGATGCGTGTTGTACATGGACGTATTTATCTCCTGTTTGATGATGCTCTGCAGTTTGGTCTGTCTACCTCAGAAAAGACTGTATTTTAAAAGAAAGTATTACACAGTATTAAAACGATGATACGTGGTTTCCAGAGGATTTCTTGGGGGCAGCAGGATGTGGGGGGCCCTCTGGGGAATGCTTGGGCTTCCAGGTCTGCTGGAGCCATGGGTATGGCTCTGTGGGTGTTTCTTTTCCTTCAGCAAAACACGACTGTGGGACTCCTGTTAACTCACTGGCACGGCAAGGGCCCGCCATGTGCTGGGCAGTGAGGCCACCAGATGAAAAGCCTGCAATTCTGAGCTCTTAGAGGCTCAGAATTGGGGCTGACTGATATCCCCAGAGCTCTGAATCCTGAGGGATAAAGAAGGGCTCATATGTTTGTTGAATGAGTGAATGAATGAATAGATGTATGCATGGAGGAAAGGGGGGCTGAAGAGGAAGTTTCACTCAGAACCTAGAGAGCATCCCTTGCTGGCCAGAGCTAGGATCGTACTTGTATTCCATCCTTGGACGGGAGGAAAGTGGACAGAGGGCAGGGTGTGGACACAGTGTGTTCCAGTCTTTCAGGTCACATGGGATCCTTTGTCTGCCACAATCTGTCTGTCAATCCCCAAACTCTGACAGCTCATCATAAACTGGGACACAGAAAACTAGGAAGGAACATCTTGCTGAAAAAGCTATATGGAGATGCCCACGAGAGGTTTTGACCCACAACTTCCTGAGGTCTTGAATGTGCTGAGCAAAATCACTGAAAATGCACCAGAGCGCAAGGGACGTAGGCCCCCTGGCGTCCTCGGGCTCAGGCTAAGGGCATACCCAGGACTTCTAGGAGGCAAAGCAAGCCCAAGGCCAGACCCTGCAAAGCAGTTCCCCCTCCAAGAGAAACAGCTGGTGTACCTGGACATGGGGGCTCTAGGGCATTGCCCCAGGGCTCACCGACCCAACCCTCTTGTCCCTTAGAGGTCCCGACACCCCCTCGCACTCTAGTTGGTTTATGACACACCTACTCTGTGCAGACACCATGTAGTACTGAGGATACAGAAATGGTTAAGCACAGCCACCATTCTGGAGAGCCCACAGTACAGGGTGGGAAAAGCTCAAGAATGGATCATTTGAAAATACAACTGGATAAAGCTGCTTGAGGAGGGACCGTATCAAAATTTTTATGTTCTCACATCTGGCACAGTATTTGGTACGCATAGAAGACACTGAGTAAATGTTGACTAAATCCTTGAATTAGTTACTTTCCAGATAAGTGTCCTGATGGAGGACGTAGGCTATCTCAAGAATGCCCAGAAAAGATTCTGACTCGTGGTGGTAGTGGTAGTGATGGGTCAGAAAAACTTCCTGGACAGGATTGGGTGGGTACAGCCTGACAAAGCTATGGAGGCTGGAAACTGTACCATACCTGTGACTTGTTACAAGAGCATAAAGTGAGGGCAGGAGTGGGGAGAAGTGGGAGGAATCGTGGAACCGCACCGCTGCACTAGGAGGACCTTCCATGCCCTGTGAAGAGCTGAGGCTCCACGATGAAGCCTGCGTGTGTGGGGCCGGGAGGGGGTTAGTGGCTGGTGGACAGGGACTGATTTGCAAGTTAAGAGTTTACCCACGGATTCAACAAATCTTTACTGAACACTGTTATGCGCTAGTTGCCATGGGGACAATAGATGGACCTTACACTCTAATGCCGGAGACAGACAGTAAACAGGCAGAGCGGCAGCGTGCTGTGGGAGTACATAGGAGGGGTGCCTAGTGGAGGGACAGGCAAAAGGGTGTGTGGGGGCAGGGAGGGCGCCCCAGAAGGGACCTGTCAGCTGGGGAGTGACTGAGGCAGAGCAGAGTGCAGTCCAAGCTTGCTTGGGGAAAGGAAGCCAGTTCCGTCCCTGAGGGTGGGGGACTTGAGGAGGAGCTTACCTTATCCAAACGGAGGAGGAGGGTTTGGATGCACCCGTGGGAGTCCGGGAAATGGTAGAGTCTATACATGTTTTGTATTTAGCAGGTAATAAGAGAATGTGGGACTTGATTGCATGTCGGAAATAAAGGAGAGCAAGGGGTCTAGGGCTTCTGGTGGAGTGTGAGGGGCGGTAAATGGGTTAGAAGAGATGTGGGAGACTTGCTAAGTTTGAGACATTAGTGGGACAGCCCGGAGGTCTCGGGCAGGCATTTCAGTTTAAGGGCCCGGGATCCTTGCCTCCTGGGGGACTGAGTCCCCCCCACCCCACCCAATCCCTGGGTATTGGGAAACTCTCACTCCAATCCCCAGGTTTTGTGAGACCCTCCCCGCTTAATGCCTAGTTTCTGGATGTTAGCAGATCCTCCTCCGACAAGTTGCCTGTGTCGGAGGACCCCCCTTCCCGTCCCACGGTGTCCCCCTCCTCCCGCCCCCAGTCCCCGGATGTAGGAACCTCATCCCTGCCACCATCCGTGGGTGTTGGCGCCCCTCCCCCATCCGCGGGCATTCGAAGCTCCTCCCCCCACAATCCGTGGATTGTGGTCACCGTGAATTGTGGTCACCGCCCGGCGATGGCTGCGCGGGCTCCGGCTGGGGCCCTGGCCCTGGCGCTCTGGGGCTGGGCGCTGGCTCCGGCGGGGGCCGTGGACGCCATGGGCCCTCACGCGGCCGTCCGCCTGGCAGAGCTGCTGACTCCGGAGGAGTGCGGCCACTTCCAGTCGCTCCTGAAGGCGCCGGAACCGGACGTCGAGGCCGAGCTGGCCAGGCTTTCGGAGGACCGGCTGGCACGGCCCGAGCCGGTGCCCACGTCGGCGGCGGCGGCGGGGCGGCGGCGGCGGCGCGAGGCGGCCGGGGAGCCGGCCGGCCGGGCGGCCGAGCCCGCGAACGTGTCCGACGGCTGCCGGGAGGGACTGGCGGCCTGGCTGGCTGCCGAGGCCCCGTCCTTGTCGTGGGACCGTGTGGCCCGGGCCCTGCGACGCAGCGGCCGCCCGGACGTGGCCCGGGAGCTGGGCAAGAGCCTCCACCAGCAGGCGATGCTGCAGCTGCGCAAGTTCGGGCGGAGCTACCTACCCCCAGCCGGCGCCCCCGCTGCCCCCATCCCGGCCCCGGCCCTGCGCCCCCGCCGCTCCTCGGCCCGCGAGCCCAACTGGGACGAGCTGGAGCTGATCGTGGAGCGACTGCCCCAGGCTCCGTACGAGCGGAGCCCCACGGGCTGGGCCGGGCCGCTGGCGCTCGGCTTCCTCACCGGCCTCGGTGGGGCGCTGGGCGCCGGGGCGCTGCTCATCCTGCTCACGCCGTGGATCACGGGCAGCGACGGCGACGGGGCGCGGCCCCACAGCCTCCGGCCGCCTGCCCCTCCCCTGCTGCGGCCCTCCGTGGTGCCCGGCCGCGGGGAAGAGGAGCCACTCTTGACTGCAGAGCCCCTCGCATCCCCGGGGGCCTGGGCTGCAGGTGGGCCAGATACCCCCTCGCCTCTGTGTCCCCGGCTGTGAAATGGGAGCACAATCCTGGTGGCGTGCTGCCTTTGACATATTATAAAAGTTACGAAATACGCAAAAGTGGGAGCGATCGGTTTGTTGGTTGGAAATGACTGGCGTAGCCAGAGGGGCAGCCAGTGGAAGAGGAGGGCTCGGGTGCCAGTCTACCGGGGAGGGCAGACCCTCCCAATTGTTGTCAGCTTTAGTTCCTTCCTTGTCTCGCACTTATTCTTCCACTAAGAGCTACCATTTATTGAGCACTAACTAACTGTGTGTCAGGCCCTAGGCTAAGCAGTTACATACATTATTTGATATAATCCTCAAAACCCAAGATTATAAGGTATTATCTCAATTACACATAAGGAAACTGGCCACAACTAGTTAGTGGCATAGTCAGGCGTTTGCATCCAGAGCTGCCTGAGCCAAAAGTTTGAGCTCCAGGGGGAATGATCCGTGAGCAGTAAGGGAGCTGGAGAAACAGGATGGGGACTGGAACAAGGTGCAGAATTTCTGTTTATTCTGAGGCCCTGCTGGAGTGGGCTGGGGGCGGCACAGCTAGAGGTGTGCCGACTTCCAGGGACTGCTGCCTCCAAAGCTGCTCTCTCCAGTCAGGCAAGGCCTCCTGAAGCTCCACCTGGAGCCCCAAACTTTTCCCACCCACCTGAGTGTCTGGGGCACCGCCCGTCCATCAGAGGAGCTGAGCCTGGATGATCCCTCACACAGATCCTACTCAGACTGTGCCCCTGCCAGAGGAAGGGGAGAGGACAGCTGTGGGGTCCTGCTGGGTGGGAGTGCTTGACTCCCCCGCTACCCTGGGCTGAGGGCCTCCGGTGTGAGAGTAATGACAGAATGACAGGCCAGTCCAAGAAGAGAGTTGAAAACAAGATTGACGTAACCCTTTATTGCAAATTCTAAAGTAAAAAGATGTACAGTACAAAGTAAAATTGAAATTTCAGACTATAAACTTCCGATCCTCTTATACATTCTCATTTCTCAAGCATTTCTGCCATTTCCGCATAAACGGAACAGGGAACAAGTCGAGGGGGTGAGGGAAGGAGATACAGCAAGGGAAAAAAATTAAGTATCTGGAATAATCACAAACCCCAGAAGCAAGCGAAAGGAAAGACATTTTCTCGACCTGCTGTCCTGGTGATGAGAAGCGGGGGTGGCTGGAGCAGTGCAGTTTAAAATGGCTCTCAGAATAGCAGCATTTATGGTACCATTTCATCTTCCATAAGTCCAAATAATACTTTGCCCTTCCCTAGTGCCTTTGCCTCTGTATCTCAAAAACACTTTACAAAACATTTAGTTAAAGCCTCACAACACCCCTGTGAGGTAGGTCAGTATTATTATCCCCATTTTACAGATGGGGAAACTGAGGCACAGAGAGGTTAAGTGACTTGCCCAAGGCCACACAGCGAGTCAGTGGTCGAGCTGGGGATGGAACACAGGAGTTCTGTCCCTTTTCTGGAACCACTGGACCACGCTCCCCTTTACCTATATACATTCTTCACACACACACACACCACACGTGCACACCCCGCCCACCCCACCCCACTTAGCCTCTATGTACAGCAAACAGCAGTGGGGGGCAGGGGTAGGGGTGCCTCAGGAGTGTTTTGACAGAGGAAATCTTGGTGCTCTTGGAAGGGGAATCCAAGAAAGCACAATGCTGAGCCACAGCACAGACTGTGCAAACCTTGGGCCCCTCCCAACCCAGACTTCTTCTTCTCTCCTGACGTCCCCCTGGCTGGCTAGTTGCAGCCAATTCTTTAGGGGGTGGGGGTACCTGAAAATGAACGAAGCTTTTTGCAAAACTTTGGGCAACATCTGAGAAAATAAAGAGGCATCATCACAGAAGATGCCCAGGACTCAAGTCACAAAGTCATAACCCATATGGCAATCTCACCTCCACAGCAGGCCTGGAGGTGGGGGGGTGGGGGAGGATGGAGACTGACCTACCAGCCATCTCTCTCCAGAGTGGAGCTACTGGAGCGGACTAGAGTGGGCACTTCAAAACCCTCCTGAGTGTTCCTGGACTGGGAGACACGGCCTAGAGAGGGATGTCCCCAAAGCTGGGCAGGGTGAGGGAAGGAGAGGGTGCCCCCCTTCCCTGCCGAATGCGAATGAGAGCAGCCCTGGTCCGCTGGTTTGTCCCTGGGGCTGATGGAGGGCAAGGCCCAGCATTAGCTAGCAGAGGGGAGGCTGCTGGGCATCGTGCTCGCCCGAGCTTTGGGGCGTTGGGATGGTTTTTTTCCTTAAAAAACGTGAAAAAGGCAGAAGTAAGGCCAGCCCAGCTGGGCTGGCTGACAGCCTCTCTGGGGGCTCTGCTGGGGGGGCCGATGAGGAAGGGGTTTCATGGGCCTTGAAGCGCTGGCCCGGTAGTGGGAGGAATGCCACATGCAATGGGTAACTGGGGATCTGGGTGGGGGGACGGACAGGACCTTGCTTTTCTCTCCAATCCCTACTTTTTAGCCAGAACTTTGCAGGAAACCCTCTGATTTCTCTCCCTTCCATTCCCCCTCCTTTCCCCAAATGTGCTGAAGTCCCAATTCCCAGACCCCTCCCAGGAATCAAAAATTGGGAGAGTCAAGCAACAAACGCACACCAAGACAGGCTTCCCTTGTACAGTAAAAAGGGTCATTTTTATTTTGTTTCCTTTTGGCTTATAGTAGTGATGTACTCTTGATCACGTCTCGTTTAGAGCAGTGCTGGCCTCCATGCGTTCACTAATACACTAGTCTTCACTATTGGTCTTTTACAAGCTTACACTGGTTGCGGCGAAAAAGAAAAGAACTCTGGGCACTGTCGTTCCAGGGGCTTTGACTGGGAGTTTCTGTTAATCTCTCCTCAGTCAACTTCTGATGCCAAGGGTGGCTCATTCGGAGAGGGATGGGAGCAGGTCCGCTGACTTGGGAAGTTTATCCTGCGCTCGCCCTCTGCTTTAAATTACGGAGTCTCCTCATGATAAGCAACGTGGAGGTTAAGGGAGGAAGAGGGGAAAGTGTTTCTCACACACAAACCAGCAACCGTGTCAGCTGCTGCTCAGTGGCTTTGGCTCTGCGTTTTAAATTAACAGCATCACACGTCTTTTTGCTTTTTGTCCTTTTTTAAAGGTGGATTGTGGAGTATAAATACTGCACCAAGGACCTGGCTACAAAAAATAAATATTTATATTGTATTTATATATCTATATATATATATGTGCAGTGATACTGTGGCTGCCGCTGCTTTTTGATTGGCTTCGTTAATATTTGGCAAAGCGTTGCCACTTACCCACTCGGTGAAGACGTACAAGAACGCCATCACTGACTCTTTGAGTTCAATGCCTGTTAACTGCGGGTGTAAACTGCTGGTGATGGTGTCACTTACTACCAAAGAAGTGTGGAGCGGGGCGGGAGAGGGCGAGAGTGCGTGAGCGAGTGGGTGGGTAGAGGGGCGATGGGTGAGGGGAAAGAAGGTGGGAAAAGTTAAAAAAAAAAAAAAAAGTGAAACTTCAGATAGAGTGGAGGTGGCTTCTTCCCTATGAAGCTGGCCGATGGGTGTCAGATACCAAGGCCCGTGTGTGTCACTGAGGAGATAACCCGCTGGGTGGGGACCAGGGTCTGGGGGAGGAAAAGGGTCAGAGCTCAGAAAAATCTCATTAATATGCTCTAGTAGCTTAATGACATCACTAGCATGAGCACTTAGAGGACGGAGCGGGATCTTATAGTTCTGTTGCCCATCTCAAGACCTAAGAACAAGAACGATTATGAAGTTTAGCCAAATCTTGCATAGAAGTGGTTAGAATTTATTGCACATTGGAACAAAAATATATATATTTTTTGTTGTTTTGGAAAAGACCATTAGCAATAAAAAATTTTTTGTCTGTCTGTCTGGTTTGGGGATGTACATTGGCTGACAGCATCTAAGTTCTAAGAAGAAAGAAAAGTATAAAAAATAAAAATAAACATGACAATGGCATAAGCCAGAAGCCATTTCCTATTTAATAAGTTAATAATTTGTATTTACAAAAAGGCATGCCAATAAAATAAAATGATATATTACAGTATTTATAATTCTCTTAAAAAGAATAACCACACGTCAGCTTGTTTTGTGCTGTTTACGATGTAGCCTGTACACGTTACTATACATCCATCCTAGCAGTTAGCAGGGTCACCGAGAAAAACGCCTTCCCAACCTGGTATCAGGCGTAGTACAAAAAGTACTACGGATGGTGCCGCAGAAGCAGGCTTATGAAAGCTGGACAGAGTTTCTAATGGTCCGACAAGATAGAAAGCTCTGCTTACTGACTTGCTGTGGTCTGTTCTATGCAAAACTAGTCAGGTGGGCTGTGCAATGACATCCAGAGTGCTTCTACTGCAAGGCAGATTGGTGTGTCTCATTGTGGGTTTTCTCCCTCCATTCTGTGGTTCAGGAAGAGTTTATTTTGATTTGGTTTGCATGCTGGAGTCCCTCCTCACTCTTTGTATCGACTTCCTGACACATTCGGCTGCAGCATCTTAGCTCTGAAATCTAGTCATCAGATGAGAAACCCCTGGGCTAAAAGCTGTCTTCCCTGAAGCGGGAGACAGACGGAAGCTATGACACTCCCCCGCAAAGCCACCCTCCAACGACAATGGGCAGGTCCCTAAGCAGATGGCAAAACTGGCCGAAAGAACGTGCTGGGGGAAGCTGGAACTTCTTAAGAATTCATATTAAGTCGCTTTCTCGTGAGAACCAATGCAATAAAGAAACCAAGTGGGCTGGGTTCAGAGGCGGCCCCATCTCTACTGAGGTCCCACCAGTGACTATTCTAATAATAAATGAAAGAAACCACAGCTGTAGCTCCAGTGCTGTGGCCCTCACCCACCTCTGTGGGTAAAGGAAGCCCTGCTTGGTGGAAAAATGTGATGGAGGCAAGAGGAACCGTGCAGTGTGTCAGCTTGTGACAACCCCTCTGTAGAAGAGAGGCCTGTTCAGAATATCTGAACCCCTCTCCACATGGACCCAAGCCCAGAGAAAGCCACAATGCAGAAGGACGTGATGCTGATGAAGTGAGCACCCCTTTACCCCCAACGAAAGGTTGTTTTAAGTTCCCCCAAATGACCCTCTAGAGATACCATGCTACTTTGAATAGCACTTTTATCTCTACCCCCAGAAAAGTCAGTTCTCCAGTATGAAGGCTAAACAATCATCATAAATATTGCAAGATATAAATGAAAAAAATTTTTTTGATTTTTGTTTTTAGCCCTAGGATTTGGTTTTACAGTGACGTTAATACAAGCCATTTGAGATCAAAATCTCCCCATGTATGGGACACAGAGAGCAGCATTAAATAGTTCATCTTTCAAAATGTGCAACAATGGCTGTATGTTAGAGATGTCTGTTAAACATATACACACAACGGATCCATCTGCTTGTTGGACTGGGTTTGTTTTTTGTTGGTGGTGGTAGTCAATTGGTTGGTTATGTTTCCCTACCCGGAAGGTGTACGAAAGACTTCTAAGAATTCAGAAAGAATTGCAGCGGGTATGGAACGCTTACCATTTTTTTCCTCCAAATACAGTGAACGGTGCAGGGCTGGGTCCTGTCCAAAGGCTGACCCAGTGCAGGGGACAGGATTAGTAGCGTCCTGCGGTGTATGGTTCTCATGCATGACTTCTGACCACGGCATGCCATCATGCAAATCATTTCTACGCATTGAACGAGCACAATGTTTGGAATTGGCCTGAGCAAGTCCTCCTCAGCCTGAAGAAACCTGATTGTTTTCCCCCACCCGTCTCCAAACCACGTGAAGCCCATGTGGAGAAGATGCGGCTTATGGCAAAGAAACTGACAATTAAATGACATGGGCTAAATGTGAGTGAGTGTGTGTTTTTTTCTTTTTCCTGCTTAGCCTAACTAACGTAAGAATGCAAGTAGAGTTTGCATGAACAAACAAACTTTTAAATTGATGCTTTCTGCTTCTGAGAATCAACAGAATGAAAAAATAAAATCCATTTGGCTGCAACGGAAATACACTGGTCCCGGCAGCCTCGCCTCTGTTTTTGTATCCTGTTAGTTTTGTCCTAAGTTGCATTGACTGATGTGGAACATGCAGTAACCACCTGCCCAAGCATTAGAAAAATCTGTGAGTCCAGGGAGCAGGGTCCTTTGCCCTTGGCAGGTCACTGCTCAAGATGCAACCGTGTTACATGGTAAGCAGACTACGTTTGGTATAGATCTTCGGGTTAAAGTGTCTCCACAGCTGTTCTGCATTGATAATATTCAGGAAGTTTGTAAACAATCTTTCACTTGCGAGTTTTAAATCTGTACAGTGTTTAGTTTTTGCTTCCCTCTAACACTTGGATTCTCTGACCTCTTTTTGTCTTCTGGCTCTTTCCCTTCTTCCTTCCTCTGCCCGTTGCTGTTTCTCCTTCTCGGGTTTAGTTACACTGTCATAGGATGGGAGGGAGGCTGTAGACGGGGTGCTCTCTTTTTTCTCCCGGTGGGTGCCTCCATTCTCCAGCTTATTGGAAGTTGTCTTTTTGCAAACGAAGCCCCGCCTTGCTAAATGTCCCCGGTAGGCGCGCTGCAGGACCACTGCCGACACCTCTTCCTGCTTGCGCCGCAGCGTGGTCGTGATTGGCTCGTAAGACATTTTGGAAGGATTGGATGCCACGAACCTCTCCTCCATCTGCTGCCGGAGGATGTCCAACTCTCCGCTGTCTCCCAGGACCCGCTTGGTGAAGGCAAAAAGGATGTCCAAGCAGTGGATGCGATCCCCGCTGACCATTGGCAGATCCATGGCAATGAGCTCTATGGTGTTGGGCTTGGGCACTCGGAGAGGATGCTCCAAGGCATCTGCAAAGTCTGCCAGCTTACTGTACTCGATGAACTGGGTGGCATCGGGGTCGAACTTCTCCCAGATCTCATAGAAGGTCTCAAAGTCATCCTCACTCAGAGGGTCTGCACTTTCCTCCGTGGCTACGCTGAAGTTCTCCAAGATGATGGCAATGTACATGTTCACCACGATCAGGAAGGAGATGATGATGTAGCTCACAAAGAAGAAGATGCCCACTGAGGGGTTCCCGCAGTCTCCTTTAAAGCCACTCCCTGGGTGTTCCTTATCCAGACTGCAGTCGGGGGGGCGGTTTAGGATGGGCAGCAGCAGGCCATCCCAGCCGGCCGAGGTTGTGATCTGAAATAGGCAGATCATGCTGTTGCCAAATGTCTCAAAGTTGAACATGTCATCAATGCCAGCCTCGTGCTTTACATACGCAAAATTGGACATCCCAAAGATGGAGAAGATGAACATGACCAGGAAGAGCAGAAGGCCGATGTTGAACAGAGCAGGCAAGGACATCATTAAGGCAAAGAGCAGGGTACGAATCCCTTTGGCGCCTTTGATCAGACGCAAGATGCGCCCAATACGGGCCAATCGGATGACTCGGAATAGGGTTGGGGAAACAAAGTATTTCTCAATTATATCAGCCAGGAACATTCCTAAGAAGAGGAACAGAAGATATGTTACTGAGCCCGGAGATGCCCTTTCTCTTTACTTATGTCGCCTGGCACTATGGAACCCTTAACTTCAAAGGACTTTACAGAATGAGCGCCTTACTATTCAATCTGAACCCTCATAATAAAAAATTTTCTCAAAAGAAAGTCGCATGTCTCAAACATATAGAGAAGCTGAGAAAACAAGAAAATGGACACCTAGGTACCCGACACCCAGATACAAAATTTCCTTCCACTCATCACCCCCAGAAGCAACCACTATCCTGCAGATGACATGTATCACCCCAGTGTCTTCATAATTTTGCTATGTACGAACCCATAAATAATATATAGGTAGCAGCCTACTATGTTTAAGGAATTATACCGTATCTCTCTTTCTAGATCTTTAACTTGCTTTTGAGACGTAACATTATGTTTGTGAGATTGATCTCTGGTGTTAAATTCGTTTTTTTTTTTTTTCCAGATTTGTCCGTTCAGAATCCGAATTTGGATTCTTCTCCAAAATGCTATCAAATTACCACATCCACAAACAGTGAATGAGAAGTCCTGGCTCCGCCCCGTAACTTCACTACCCAATGGCTGTGGAGCCTTAGTCCGCTAATGCCGCTAATTCTCAGGGCATCTTCTTCCTGGCTCTGAAAAGATATTTTTGGTTCTCATTGCCCCATGTTCCTGCCTTACCAAACTAGCCTACAAACTAAAGGGACCTCTCGGGAGCAGTTTTCAACTCAAGAGCTTCTAGATTTTTGTGTTTAAAGCCATCAATCAAAACCCAGTATCACCAGGTAAAAATGTCCAGACGTTAATAGGATATAAAAGTAGAGGGTGGGGCTTCCCTGGTGGCACAGTGGTTGAGAGTCCGCCTGCCGATGCAGGGGACGCGGGTTCGTGTCCCGGTCCGGGAGGATCCCGCATGCCGCGGAGCGGCTGGGCCCGTGAGCCATGGCCGCTGGGCCTGCGCGTCCGGAGCCTGTGCTCCGCAACGGGAGAGGCCACGGCAGTGAGAGGCCCGGGTACCGCAAAAAAAGAAAAACAAAAACAAAAGTAGAGGGTGAAACACGCACATCAGAGGGCCTTTTTCTGTTTACATTCATCCAGGGGTCCACTTCCACCAGACCACTTGCCTTTAAAGAGCGATAACGGGAGCCCAGTGAGGGGCCGCAGAAGGAAGAGGAGATGAAAAGGTTGCGGAGATGACAGCTGAAGGCATGGCAGTGACACCACGTGCTCTTCCTTCAGGGTCTTCTCTTGCTGTCGAGGCCCCCACGAGACAGTGTGAGCACATCTTCATTTAAATAAAGAAATATCTTCCAACCATAAGGATTCATAAATATTGGGGTAGTGAACTGCAGGTTTTAAGGTTTTAAGCTATTTTCAGCTTTCAAGAAAATCTCTACCTCAGCCAGGACTCAAGATGATTTCTCAGCGCTCCTCTTTTTACTTCTCAATTAAGTCATAACGTAATACTTGCATTCCGTACATGGTGCATTCCGTACATGGTTTTAAGCTATTTTCAGCTTTCAAGAAAATCTCTACCTCAGCCAGGACTCAAGATGATTTCTCAGCGCTCCTCTTTTTACTTCTCAATTAAGTCATAACGTAATACTTGCATTCCGTACATGGTGAAACTTTTAAATTGATGCTTTCTGCTTCTGAGAATCAACAGAATGAAAAAATAAAATCCATTTGGCTGCAACGGAAATACACTGGTCCCGGCAGCCTCGCCTCTGTTTTTGTATCCTGTTAGTTTTGTCCTAAGTTGCATTGACTGATGTGGAACATGCAGTAACCACCTGCCCAAGCATTAGAAAAATCTGTGAGTCCAGGGAGCAGGGTCCTTTGCCCTTGGCAGGTCACTGCTCAAGATGCAACCGTGTTACATGGTAAGCAGACTACGTTTGGTATAGATCTTCGGGTTAAAGTGTCTCCACAGCTGTTCTGCATTGATAATATTCAGGAAGTTTGTAAACAATCTTTCACTTGCGAGTTTTAAATCTGTACAGTGTTTAGTTTTTGCTTCCCTCTAACACTTGGATTCTCTGACCTCTTTTTGTCTTCTGGCTCTTTCCCTTCTTCCTTCCTCTGCCCGTTGCTGTTTCTCCTTCTCGGGTTTAGTTACACTGTCATAGGATGGGAGGGAGGCTGTAGACGGGGTGCTCTCTTTTTTCTCCCGGTGGGTGCCTCCATTCTCCAGCTTATTGGAAGTTGTCTTTTTGCAAACGAAGCCCCGCCTTGCTAAATGTCCCCGGTAGGCGCGCTGCAGGACCACTGCCGACACCTCTTCCTGCTTGCGCCGCAGCGTGGTCGTGATTGGCTCGTAAGACATTTTGGAAGGATTGGATGCCACGAACCTCTCCTCCATCTGCTGCCGGAGGATGTCCAACTCTCCGCTGTCTCCCAGGACCCGCTTGGTGAAGGCAAAAAGGATGTCCAAGCAGTGGATGCGATCCCCGCTGACCATTGGCAGATCCATGGCAATGAGCTCTATGGTGTTGGGCTTGGGCACTCGGAGAGGATGCTCCAAGGCATCTGCAAAGTCTGCCAGCTTACTGTACTCGATGAACTGGGTGGCATCGGGGTCGAACTTCTCCCAGATCTCATAGAAGGTCTCAAAGTCATCCTCACTCAGAGGGTCTGCACTTTCCTCCGTGGCTACGCTGAAGTTCTCCAAGATGATGGCAATGTACATGTTCACCACGATCAGGAAGGAGATGATGATGTAGCTCACAAAGAAGAAGATGCCCACTGAGGGGTTCCCGCAGTCTCCTTTAAAGCCACTCCCTGGGTGTTCCTTATCCAGACTGCAGTCGGGGGGGCGGTTTAGGATGGGCAGCAGCAGGCCATCCCAGCCGGCCGAGGTTGTGATCTGAAATAGGCAGATCATGCTGTTGCCAAATGTCTCAAAGTTGAACATGTCATCAATGCCAGCCTCGTGCTTTACATACGCAAAATTGGACATCCCAAAGATGGAGAAGATGAACATGACCAGGAAGAGCAGAAGGCCGATGTTGAACAGAGCAGGCAAGGACATCATTAAGGCAAAGAGCAGGGTACGAATCCCTTTGGCGCCTTTGATCAGACGCAAGATGCGCCCAATACGGGCCAATCGGATGACTCGGAATAGGGTTGGGGAAACAAAGTATTTCTCAATTATATCAGCCAGGAACATTCCTAAGAAGAGGAACAGAAGATATGTTACTGAGCCCGGAGATGCCCTTTCTCTTTACTTATGTCGCCTGGCACTATGGAACCCTTAACTTCAAAGGACTTTACAGAATGAGCGCCTTACTATTCAATCTGAACCCTCATAATAAAAAATTTTCTCAAAAGAAAGTCGCATGTCTCAAACATATAGAGAAGCTGAGAAAACAAGAAAATGGACACCTAGGTACCCGACACCCAGATACAAAATTTCCTTCCACTCATCACCCCCAGAAGCAACCACTATCCTGCAGATGACATGTATCACCCCAGTGTCTTCATAATTTTGCTATGTACGAACCCATAAATAATATATAGGTAGCAGCCTACTATGTTTAAGGAATTATACCGTATCTCTCTTTCTAGATCTTTAACTTGCTTTTGAGACGTAACATTATGTTTGTGAGATTGATCTCTGGTGTTAAATTCGTTTTTTTTTTTTTTCCAGATTTGTCCGTTCAGAATCCGAATTTGGATTCTTCTCCAAAATGCTATCAAATTACCACATCCACAAACAGTGAATGAGAAGTCCTGGCTCCGCCCCGTAACTTCACTACCCAATGGCTGTGGAGCCTTAGTCCGCTAATGCCGCTAATTCTCAGGGCATCTTCTTCCTGGCTCTGAAAAGATATTTTTGGTTCTCATTGCCCCATGTTCCTGCCTTACCAAACTAGCCTACAAACTAAAGGGACCTCTCGGGAGCAGTTTTCAACTCAAGAGCTTCTAGATTTTTGTGTTTAAAGCCATCAATCAAAACCCAGTATCACCAGGTAAAAATGTCCAGACGTTAATAGGATATAAAAGTAGAGGGTGGGGCTTCCCTGGTGGCACAGTGGTTGAGAGTCCGCCTGCCGATGCAGGGGACGCGGGTTCGTGTCCCGGTCCGGGAGGATCCCGCATGCCGCGGAGCGGCTGGGCCCGTGAGCCATGGCCGCTGGGCCTGCGCGTCCGGAGCCTGTGCTCCGCAACGGGAGAGGCCACGGCAGTGAGAGGCCCGGGTACCGCAAAAAAAGAAAAACAAAAACAAAAGTAGAGGGTGAAACACGCACATCAGAGGGCCTTTTTCTGTTTACATTCATCCAGGGGTCCACTTCCACCAGACCACTTGCCTTTAAAGAGCGATAACGGGAGCCCAGTGAGGGGCCGCAGAAGGAAGAGGAGATGAAAAGGTTGCGGAGATGACAGCTGAAGGCATGGCAGTGACACCACGTGCTCTTCCTTCAGGGTCTTCTCTTGCTGTCGAGGCCCCCACGAGACAGTGTGAGCACATCTTCATTTAAATAAAGAAATATCTTCCAACCATAAGGATTCATAAATATTGGGGTAGTGAACTGCAGGTTTTAAGGTTTTAAGCTATTTTCAGCTTTCAAGAAAATCTCTACCTCAGCCAGGACTCAAGATGATTTCTCAGCGCTCCTCTTTTTACTTCTCAATTAAGTCATAACGTAATACTTGCATTCCGTACATGGTGCATTCCGTACATGGTTTTAAGCTATTTTCAGCTTTCAAGAAAATCTCTACCTCAGCCAGGACTCAAGATGATTTCTCAGCGCTCCTCTTTTTACTTCTCAATTAAGTCATAACGTAATACTTGCATTCCGTACATGGTGGGCAAGTAAGGCTTCAGAGAGAAGATGATGCCTCAGTAAGGTTCTGTAGGATGAATGTGTATTTGTGCCCAGAGAAAAGGGGAGAGAGATGGGCAGACAGCAATCCAGGCAGTGGGATCAACATTTAAGGGGTCCTCCAGGAGGTTCCAGGGAGAGTTTTACCCAAACTCCTCTTAATTTAAAAAGATTTTTTCTAGCTTTTGTTTCTGAACAGATTAATGACATTTAAAAAAATCCCAATTATCAGAAGAAACTCTTCTTCCTCCTTATTTTCAAGTACCATCTGAGAATAGGGGGCATGGTTTCGTCTGTGGGTCTTCCATCCCACTTAGTGATGGGTGGGCAGAAAAAGTTTAAGAAACGTGGACAAGGGTAGCATGGTCCAAAGTGTGTTTCGTGGGAGGTTAGGAGTGCGGAGCTGAGGCCAGGGGGCTGGGCTTGCTCGCTTACCAGTTGCATGTCTCAGTAACTGCTTTGTGCCTTTGTTCTTCATGATACTTACAGGGCTGTTGTGAGGGTTACAGGAATTAAAACATGTAAAGCACTTAGAATGGTGACCAGCACATAGTATGTTCCATTAAACTCTTAGAAACATTATTATTGCTTGAAAACAGGGTGTTGCGGTTGAATAAAGGTGGGATGATGTATTAAACAGAATTCTTTACTCCAGGACTTTCAAGAGCCTCCTGTAGGCTAATGTGCCTTGTGACCCTCCAAAGGGAAATTCAGTGTATTGTACAGTGTTGCCCAAAGTAATTCCATCATGGGATTCTTTTCTTGGGGAGAAATGTATGAGATTAGTCAACACATTTTTGGACACGCTGCTCTGGAGGACAGAACTAGAAAGTGGGAGCGCAGCTGCCTTCTGGTGGCCGTGGTCACCACCTTGCTAAACCAGCTCTGGAGCTGGTTCCCTGGGTCTCGGGCACGCTACCCCTGCTAGCGTAAGTCAGTCAAACCCACCTGGAACCAAGGTAGTGTTTCCCCATTCGAGATGCCTTTTAGGAAGGCAAGGAAATTTGGGGGAGGGCGATCAATAGGACAGCATTTCCACTGCCTGCCAGGACATGAGCCCTTCCAGGCCCTTAGGCTGAAGCAAATGCCACACAGTCACTGTTAAAAACCAGCTTGAGTTCTGCCTCTGCCATCTCCTAACTAACTGAGTGACCCTGAACATCTTCACAGCAAAGATAGTAACATACCTTGCTTCCTGGGCTGTCATAAGGATCAAATGAGACAACACAAGTGAAGAAACTCTCCAACTACTTGGCACCATAAGATCTTAGTAAATGAGCATCGCCATCAGCAGAAGTGCTGTCACCAGAATGTTCCTCATTGATGTCCAACTTAACAGTCTCTTACCAGGCCTTTTTCCACTTTATACTGCTACTGTAGCCGGATTTTAAAATATATTTCTTTTACCTTACCTGTTAGAATGTAAACTCTTTGAAAGCAAGAACCAAATCTAATCTTTTCCCCCTCTTCAGCCACAAAATTTACAACCCGAGACTACTATGAAGACTCATAGAAACTTGCTGACCCATATCAGCGATTTGGGACGGGCCCACAAGTTGACTTGGGGGCCGCCCGCCCTGGGTGTAACCCGAGAGTAACCTGCCCGCCCTTCAGCCCTGTGTCATTCGTTGCACTCCCCGGAATCCCATCCTCAGGGCCAGTCAGGTCCCTTTCCCGTCCTCGCCTGCCCCACTCACCCACAATGGAGAGGATGACCACCACGAAGTCGAAGATGTTCCAGCCAATGGTGAAGTAGTAGTGCCTCAAGGCAAACATTTTGAGCACACACTCACAGGTGAAGAAGATGACAAAGACCAGGTTAATCCAGTAGAGAATGTTCTCCATCTGCTTGCTCTGCGTGTCTGTCTCCACCATCATTGTCACCATGTTGAGGCAGATGAGCATCATGATAACAATGTCAAAGGCTTGCTGAGTGACAAAATCAAAGACGATACCTTGGATTTTGTTCTGGGTGGGGAGGGAGGGAAGAAGACAGAAGAGGCTTCATGAAAACCTTCCCCAGCAGACTGTGGGAGCTGCCACCCTGTTTTCTTTGCTGGAATACTGGCCAGCTCTCTGCTGCTGCTCTATCAGGGTATCAGGAGCATGGCTAAAGACCAAGGTCAACATACCCTCACCAAGAGTTTTCTAAAATTGCCACTCTTCTCTTTGTGTCTCTGCCATCACACGTTTCTGGGTGTCTTCCTACCTCTCCAGCTGCTCCTTCTTAGTCTCCTCTGCCGGCCATTTCTTCTCTAAATCTCTTCTTCCTCCCTTGGAGAGCTCATCTACCATCTATTCCTACTGCTCACATATTAGCTAGGTACTTCAGTTTCCCAAGTGTTTTCTTCTCCAGCCCATATCTTTCCTCTGAACTCCGGGGTTGCTTGTTCGATATCGCTCCTGGATGACGCATAAGCATCTGAAAGCTCAGCAAGTCCAAAGCAGAGCTTCCTCCTTTCCTCTGCCCCTCTCCCAGCTCGCTCTCCTCTCACCGCAATTATTTATCCAGTCTCTAAGCCAGAAATCTGAGGGTCATTCCCGCTCACCCCTCTCCCTCATCCCCCACCGAATCCACTGCAGGTCCTGTGGAGTCTTCCTTGAATTCAGCCGCTTCATTCCATTTCTGTGGCCCTCCTCTAACTAAGCCACCAACATCTCCCCTTTTGGACTTCTAGAAGGGTCTCCCGACTGGTCTTCCTGCTTCCTCTCTTGCCCTCATCCAATGCAGTCTCCACAAAGCAGCAAGTGTGATTATTTAAAAACATAAATGGTTCACATCACTCTCCTACTTAAAATCTCTCACTAGCTTCTCATTGGACTTGCAACAAAACTCCTATGGTTGACTGACTTAAAAATGCCTTTCAGGGCTTCCCTGGTGGCGCAGTGGTTGAGAGTCCGCCTGCCGATGCAGGGGACACGGATTCGTGCCCCGGTCCGGGAGGATCCCACGTGCCGCGGAGCGGCTGGGCCCGTGAGCCATGGCCGCTGAGCCTGCGCGTCTGGAGCCTGTGCTCCGCAGCGGGAGAGGCCACAACAGTGACCTGGCCGCACTAATGTTTCCTGCTTTTAGGGCCTCATTTGCTTTCCCAGGATTCCTTTCCCCAGCCTTCTGCCTCCTTCTCATCCACTCAGATAGACCCACCGTAGTGAGGCTTCTCCCACAGCTCTGTTAAAGGAGACCCCCCCCCAGCCCAGGCCTCCATTATATTCTGTCATGGCCCTTCAGTTGATTTTTTTCTCACAACACTCTGCATTTTATTTATTTATTTGATGTGGACCATTTTTAAAGTCTTTATTGAATTTGTTACAATATTGCTTCTGTTTTTGTTTTTTTTTTTTACGTTTCTGGATTTTTGGCAGCGAGGCACGTGGGATCTTAGCTCCCCGACCAGGGATTGAACCCGCACCCCCTGCATTGAAAGGCAAAGTCTTAACCACTGGACCGCCAGGGAAGTCCTTGCATTTTATAATAACTGTTCTCTTACTTATTTATTATCTATATCCCCACTACACTGTAAGCTCCATGATTGCGCTGTCTAAATTTGTTCATCACTTTTTGCCTGGTGCCTGGTACACAGTAGGAGATCTGTAACGATTTGCGGAATAAGTCTTTATTAATGCTTCCTACCACACTGAGCGTTTATATTTTAGTGTGGAAGAAAATACGCTCAGGTTCCCACGTGCAAAGTACTGAACAGAACTTTAGAAATGGCAATCCTCTTGCATTCCCTCTGATCGCATTTCTGTCACAAAGTGGAAACTACCATCAAGGAAATATAAAAAAATGTTCTCTTTCTTAAGATCTCCCTGATTTTTTAGATACCTAGGCACTTGAGCTCATGCTTATTTTCGGGATTACTTAACTTGGTGGGTTTCAAACTGTTCTGCAAAGCCCTAGGGTTTCCTCTCCCTCAGAAGTTGGTGAGGGGGTATGCCAGGAACAGGGTGTGTGGGGTTAAGTCAGGAAAATGCTCTGGGACTCCCACTCTTGATTCAAAGAAAGTAGCTTCACTTTCATTTTTGTAAATTAGGTTGCCAGGTAAGCTTTTAACAGTTCCGCTGTGTTGTTGTTTTAAATAAAAAGTTACTCTATTTATTTATTTATGGCCACGCCGCACAGCTTGTGGGATCTTAGTTCCCCAACCATGGATCGAACCCGGGCCCCCGGCAGTGGTAGCACGGAGTCCTAACCACTGGACCGCCAGGGAATTCCCTAAAAAGTTACTTTAAATAAAAGTTACAGAAGAAGGACTTTGAGCGTGGCTTTTGGGGGTCATGTCCCACTCGGTGGGATGTATGGCTTCAGGAGCACAGCGTCTCCTTCTCTGAAGCAAGAGAACCACCACCAACACAGGGTCAAGCAGAATCCCAGTCCCCAAATCTGTTTTACAAAAGGATCAGTTCAAGGGAGGAAATCAGGCCACAGACTCTCCTAGCTTCACCCTCTCCTGCTCCCACAGATAACCGGAAAGAGGCATTAGCTTAGCTTTCAGGCACATCCTTGCAAAGACTTACTTGTTAAGCAGAGGGCTGAGAAAATAATGACCAAATCCTATCTTGTACTGGTAGGAAAGAGATCAGCTTTCATTTCACTTTCCTTTGTTCATTTTTAGTGGGTCTCTTAAAACATCTCTCTACCAGGGTCACAGCCAATGTGGTCAACATGCCGATTCTCTGCTGCTGCCCAAGGATGCCTCAGAGGAAAGGTCAGGTGCAAATGCAAAAGCCACCCCATACCTTAACTCCTGTTCTTCTGCCGTCTTCCTCAGATCCCTGCTTGCGAGATCTCAGTTCCCCGACCGGGGACTGAACCTGGGCCCTCGGCAGTGAAAGCACAGAGTCCTAACCACTGGATGGCCAGCGAATTCCCTTCCTCCGATCTTTTGGATGGGATAGCGAGGAGAGGATTGGAGGGCCCAGGCCGCCCATCATTTGCCCCTTTCCTCCCTCTGCAGTAACTCTAGCCATGTCTTTTTCCACACGGGGCCTCACTCTGCCCTGGGCCCACACAATGCACTCACCAGGGGGCGGGGGATGGGTTTCTGTGGTTTCTTTGAGCCCAGCTTTTTCATGGCATTGTAGTACTTCTTCTGTTCTTCGGTCATGAAGATGTCTTGACCTCCGAAGTAAAGGAGGGAAAGAGAGAACGTGCAATTACAACTGGCTTTCACATGCTACAAGTTTGGACCTAAGGTGCAACCCTGAGAACCGAGGGGGCTTTACCCCCTTTACTTTCCAGAGGTCAGTTTAGCTAATGGTCATCCCAGAGTGAGGTAGACCTGGGACAACTAATCTAACTCAAAGAGATACTTTGTTCTCAGCTTGGGATTTCTGAGACCCGCTAGGGGCTAGGAAGGAAAGAAGGAAGGAAATGGAAGTAACAGACCTCCAGGGAAGGATAAACTTGAGAGCCATGACTCTAAACACATCTTCGTACATTTGGGGGGGCCTGCTTTCCTGACACAATTCTCAAAAAAGCATTTTAAAATGAAAGGATTTTCAAGTCCTGGCTAATGGCCCATTTATTTCCGACAATGTTAAAATTTTAGAAATCTTGGTGGGAGCAAACAATTTGGGAAGTTCCTTGGAGTTTGTTGGGACAGGCTCGGTTTATAAAATAAATGACAAGAGTAATCTTATTTGCTTTGGAAAAATTGTTAATGACCTGGGACAAGTAAAGGAGGTGAGCTTTCCAAGGTTGATCTCTCAAATCCCAATGTGCTGACGGTACCGGGGATTAACACAGATACTGACAAGTCGAGACAATTTCTACTTCTCACTAAAGCTGTTCAACTGCTGCCTTCCTTTTCAGCTGTCACTAGACCCTCTCTGACCCTACCTCCCTCTGGTGGGAGGCCAAACCTAGTAAAAAGCCTCCGGGATTGCTAGTAAATTTGCTACCAGTAAATCGCTAGTTTGGTCTAGTAAATGTGGTAAACCACACACTGCAAAATCCAGCACAACAGAACGGGCTGGTTGGGACTAATGTACAGTGGGGCCAGTGCCACAGCGAGGTGATGATGCGGATCTTAGAGAAAGAGAGGCGTTTCTCTCTAGAGAGAGGGACGGAAGTGCCTCTCGTCTGGGATGAGCCCCGGCCGCTGGCAGCCTGGGGAGGAGACCTATCTTTTTCTTCTGCTGGTTGAAGTTGTCGATGATGACGCCGATGAACAGGTTCAGGGTGAAGAAGGAGCCGAAGATGATGAAGATGACAAAGTAGATGTACATGTAGATGTTGTCCTCGTACTTAGGCTGCTCATCAGGCTGTCAAAGGACAGGAGAAAGGAAAGGAGAGTCAGCTCCTAGCTTGGGGGTCAGGTGGGGGATTCCGACATGCCAAGGCCGTCAGCCCCGCTGACCGCTTGAGCTGCTGAGCCAGCTGGGGTAGGGGAGCCCGAGGTTCTCTCTGCCTGTCTCCTTCTCCACGCTGGCAGGTCCTGCCCCGAGAAGGCATATGATGCCTTCCATGACGTATGTGGAGAATATGCAAATCGTGAGGCGAGGGGGAGGGGAGGGCTGTCTGCTAGGAGCCACGCTTATTTCAGATCAGCACTGAAGAGCAGACAGCTCCATTAGGGCCAGGTGAAAACCAAGAGCCTAACCACCTGGAGGCGCTGTAAGAGAGTGATGACTCACTGAGAGGGGGAAGGTGACCTACAATCAGTGAGACAGGCAAAAAACGTTCTAACCTTCCCTCTCTTTCTTGATGAGCTCCACCATGCTGCTTGCTTTCTAACCAGTTAAGAAGGTCGTGGTTTCACCAGGTATAACCTTACCTTTCGGGAATCTACAGCTGCATACATGATGTCCATCCAGCCTTTGAAGGTTGCCTGGCAAACAGAGTCAGTCATTAGACTGTGCCTGTTAGGGGGTGGGTGGGAGTCTGGGCAGAGGGTCCCAAAGGCAGGCTTAGGTTCAGCGAGAACACAAGTCAGGGAGTTTGGGTGCAGCCTCACGTGGACACAGAATTTTCTGTTTGTTAATACAGGTCCCAAGGGAGCTTTGTCTAAGCCCTGAACGTAACATCAAAGATTGGCAGAGAAACATGTTGACGGTGGTAACTGGATCAATACTTTTACAAAAGGTCTTTAAAATGGGTCTGAGAAGGTCGCCTAAAGCTAGGGCAAACTCATATTTATGAGTGGCAGGAATCTACTGAGTTTACTTAGAACTTACCCCTCCATGAAGGAGTCGTATTTTAAAAAGGTGTTAAACAAGCAATGGGGGGGGGGGGTCTGAAAAATTAATAGTTGCATTAAAAAAAAAACAAGGTCAGAACTTCCCCCTCCCGAGATACATACACATGTTTAGCCTATGGTAGTGGTGACAGTGGCTCACCCTAGGCAGCCCCTTCCCAGTTCTCCGACTATACCTAACCCGATTTTGGAAACTAATATGGGTAACCAGTTTAACAGTCTCCATGTTTTCCTTTCATTCTATGTTTTATTTACTCAACCAGATTCTCAGTTTTTTCAGGGCCTGGGCAGTTCTTTATTCATCTGATGGCTCTGGTACTGCCCAAGCACAGTGCCTTGCATGTGGTGGGGACTCAATACAATGTTTGGCTGGCTGATGTGCACTGGTTTCCTGGAGCTGCTCCAATTTAGGTTCAATCTGTGGGTCCAATTTCTTGAACTGGGAGAGAAGAGCTAAAGAGCTCTTGAGTGGGATAAACCACTGCTCATCCCATTAATTCCTACAAGCTAACAGTAAGTGCTTACTATACACAAGGCCGAGTTGACAGCTTCACCTGCATTATCACATTTAATACTCCCAACAACTATGACATAGGGACAGTTGTAATAGTAACGAAGAAACATAACAGCAAACACCATGAATTAAGCACTGCTATGTGCCAGGCATTGTGCTAAGAAATGTTAATAAGTTATCATGAATCCTCTTAACTACCATGCAAGGTATGATCACTCAAATTTAACAGATGAAGAAATAAACTCAGAGAGGTTTAGTAATTTGTCCAAGGTTACATATCCAATAAATACCAGAGTGTGGCTCAAACCTACATCTGTTTGAGTCCAAAGACTAGGAGCTTTCATTGTACTCTACCGTCTTGTCAAACTCTCCAAATAATCGACCAAAGAGGAAGAGAAAACTAGACATGATGGAATGCTTCACTGTTTATTGTGATACATTAACTTGAGACCTTTCTCTGGGGTTGAGCTGCCATGAGTAGCGGCATCATAGCACCGTCACATTGTCATATTTAGTTAACTCTAGTGTAGCTGTTACGTGGGATTGTTCTGCTCCATCAATTTTTTTTTTTTTTTTGGTCTATGCACTTACCTACTTTATTTTTTCTTTCTCTTTAACTACATACTCTGTCATAGAGAGAGATGGTGATCTCTCTGCAATTTTATTGTGCTGCAGGAATCCTTATTTGTTGATAAGCAGAACTCTGAGCACAGTGACAGATTCCCTTGGCTGAGGTTTTGGAGATGTCAAAGTACTCAGGAAAGGTGTCTCCCTGGAACTGGTTTGGGAAATGACATTGTCCCCTGACCTATTAACAGCGATCCTGATTCTGAACGCAGGGTTGAGAAGGAACCAAATGAGATTTCTGCTAGCTTTCTGGATTTCATAGGACGGAGAACAATCCTTACCACTTGAAGAAGCGCCAGATATCCTGCCCCGACGTTGTCAAAGTTGATCTTCACGTTCTTCCATCTGATTTCTGTATTGTTCCCCTCCATGAGCTTTTCACACTCAGTTTTATTGTTGACATCTTCAATTTCAAATCGGATTTCAGAAGACTCATTAAAGCAGTAGTGGTACTTTCCGGCAAACAGGTTAACTCCCATGATGCTGAAAATCAGCCAGAAGATGAGACACACCAGCAGCACATTCATGATGGAGGGGATGGCGCCCACCAAGGCATTCACCACCACCTGCATTGGAAGGGGGAGGTTGCTGAGTGTCGGGAAGAAGTACAGGCACGCACACTCTTTTGATTTCCAGGAGGGGAATGACACTTCGTGGCTTGTTCTGACTATGGAAACATTATGTTCCCTTTGGAATTAGGGTAACCAAACAGATCCATACGCAGGACCAAAATTTTGTATATCTATGAAATATATTTTGAGGAATTCTAAAAATTGCATATTTATTTCATTGAACACAAATTCTCCTGCCCAAGTTGACCTAGGTCTCTCTCCTAGGCATCAACCTGGGACCGAAAAAATTATTTCATTGTCTAGTGTCCCTTCTCATCAACTCATAAAATATGCCCCCCATGGGAAAATCTGAGTGATTTCAAGCTCACTAGTTGCCTTTCGACAGACATTCCCCCTCTGCAAAGCAAGGTGAGGTGGTTCAAAATCACAGAGAACTCCCCTGTGGGGTTAGCAGTGTCACTCAACGGTACATAGAGTCTTTTTTATGACTGTGCAAGGCCAGTTATCTTATTTCAGGCAAGAGCTGAGCATGCATTTTTTGCAGGCTCAAGAAAAAAAAAAAAAAAGCTATATTCCCTCTACCAAACAGTATAAAATAAAATCTGAATGGTTGTGTTTTTCATGCAAGATTCATTCTTCTTCTTCAGGCTTTTTTTTTTTTTTCTGACTTTGCAGGCTTCTAGACCCGAGTCGCCCTCTGCTTGGCTAATGCTGGTGTCTCTCTGCTCAATCTGGGGTTTGACTCAACTCTTCACGATGTATTATTAGAAAAAGGAATAATTTGGGTTTTTGGGGAGAATTTTGGGTTAGATCACTGGTCTTGAAGCCCAAAAACTGGCATATTGTTAAAAATCACTGACTACAGTAAGCTCGGGAGTGAAAAAAAGCCAAGGGAAAGGAGCTCCCTCAGGAATTAAAGTTTCCGTGTTGTTTTTAACTTTGATTTTGCTTCACACTGTAGATGAGAATAGCTAGACAACACTTCCACTGCGGTAGCAGTTTTCACTAGAGGAGTTCAAAGTGCTTTACAAAAATAGCATTTCAGGTGGTGGGGCAGAAAGCAAAGCTGGTGTTCATTTCTTCCCTGATTCTCACTGGCTGTTGTCTTTAGCAGGACTGCTAAGGCCCAGAAAGGTGACCCTAAAATGGGAAGCATGTTTCTTCCTTTTTCTAGTATCCTAGGAGGATAAGTGGAGTTAAAATAAAGACCCTGGATATAAACAAAGTCTTCTAATGTTTTGTTAGAAGGAGGTGACAAGCATCACCACCTTCCTCCATCCCCTTTTCAGTGCAGGGAAGAGAGAGGACACGCTGCCAACCAGCACAGCATGGAAACGGCCAAAAGGGCCGTGCTGTAGAAGGAACACCAGGGGGCAGCTCTGGGCTCTAATTTGAGCCCGATTTGGGACCAGGTTTTCCTTATCTTCTGTTTTGGCCTTAGATTGTAATGTCACTCATTGGAACACGTGGCTGAGAAGAGCTGTCTGTTCTGTCCTGTATAAAAAAGGCAACGATATTCTGCTAAGGAGTCACTCTCCCTCAGATTAAAATACTAGTTTTGTGTTTCTCCAATTCATGTATGAAGGCCTTTAGATTGAGAGGTAGTTATTTCTTAATTCTTAGACCAAGAAATCTCTTCTAGATGTAATAGCTCTGTCATTGGTATAAAATAATTATACTTCCATTGTTCATTACTTTGAGCAAGGAAAGCCAGAATACCTGAAATCTGGGAACTCCCCAATGTTACTGTGGAGAATGATATTCATATTATTAATTTATGTTACCAAATTTGTCAGGTGATCAGATATGAATTTTACCTCCTCTTTCTACAGTTGCCTACCCTTTGATGGGAGTACTTCAAGGCAATGAAATGTGCAAAAGAATAGGCAAAAGGAAGATGACCCACAAATGGGATAATTTATTTCTCACAAGTTAAGGGAGTAGGTTATGTAACGTTTCAAAAGCTCAAGTCTATGTGACAGCATTTTGCAGCAGCGCTCAGGTGAGAGAGCGTGACCTTCTATTAGACCATCACAAGTGTGCAATACAGAAGTGGGCCCCAGAAGATCTGAAACCTAGAAATCTTGCTTTTTATATCAATTCAGAGTATACCTCCTCTAGGAATTCTTCTGACTACCTTAACCTAGTCTAACCTGTCCTACATAGTGTCTGTGTGTTACAGTTAAATACGGGGTAATATTTCCAGCAGGGAAGAATAATTAGCCAACTGACTAAGAAATCTCTTTGCACTTTTAAACTCATAGATATGCTCAAAGGAATCAGTACACAGAAGTATTTACTGGGCCTCGTTCTCTGATATATATGACATAAAAATCCTATAAAATCCAATGTACTTGTGAGATGTAAATGTACTTCCACTTATAATGAAATGTACTTTCATTATAACCAAAAGAAAAACTTCTTAGCTTCATTTCATGAATAAAACAGTAAAGAGCTGATGAACTTTACTAATAATTCTTCCTTGTTGTGAACATTAGCTAATATTCTCAGCAACCAAAGAGCAAGAAACCATGCTTTCTTATTTTGAACTCTTACACTATAGACATATATATAAATGATAATTTAAGTTTCCATGGATAGTTACATAATAAAGTAGATCTCCCCTTCTGCTCCCTAATAACTCAAGTTATTCCGTGTCACCTTTAATTATGATGAAATTCATTATTGTTAAAAGTTAGGTATAGAAATATTACTCAAAGCTAGCAACCTATAAAGTTACTTTTTGCAATGGAAGTTTATATTTAGCAGTTGAGAGAAATCTCATTTGATGAAAAAATTCCAATGGGTACTAATTCTTTCAGCATTTTTGTCTTCTCTATAACGCCTAGAACGTTATTGCTCATTAAATAATATAAAATCTGTCAAATAGCTTTTAATATCTGGCAGAGGGAACATGGCTTTAATGGACGACTACATACTGACAATCAACAAAAATGCATGCATGTTTCACAGCATTACTATTCTGTACCCTCAAAAATTTAACAGCACAGCAAAATCCTTAAATGAAGATTACTATGGAGGAGAGAAAAGCAAAGAACTACGTTCAGCATTCCTTTGCCGACAGCATGAGTGTTTCAGTGTTCTGGTCTTTGGTTTGAGGAAGAGACTGAAGCCAGTGTCCCAGGACAGGCTAGGGCCTTATGTTCCCTCTCAAGCGAAGGTCTGAACCTCTCACCGGAGCAGCACAGTGACAGTTGAGCCCATCTGCATTGATGGTATTCAGTTTGTAAAGATGTCTTGTTTAAAATTTTCTAAGGGGATAATCTCTTAGATTATGCAAGTGTTGGCACACACAAGGACCCAAACCAAGAAATGAAAAACACAGCCCTGCAGAAGAGTAACGTTCAAGTAAAACGTAGGTCCCTAATTCTGTTCATTATTGGGGCAAATTCACTCCTCCCTTCTTGCACAGAAGGGCTGGGGAACTGCAGGAAAGGAATGGGTCCTGAGTTTTCACCTCCGGCCCAACCAGAAGTGGCCGTGCTGTCGCTGACTGGAGCCAACCAAAGGAGGTGACATCCTTTACCATAGTTTTCCTTACTGAATGTTTACTGTTTGAAAGCCCGGCTTTGGGTTCAAACTTGTTCCTGCCCTTATTATCTCATTTGAGAAAACCTTTACTAATGCTTTTCAAATAAAAGTGTCTGCTCTTCTGGTCACCCATTCCAGACCTCTGGGCTCCTCAACTACTTGAAAGTTGACAAGTAAAAGTGTTGAGGGAATGGAAACTGCGAGTACCGGAAAGGTGAGGAAAGAAGGAGGAGCTAAAGGGAAGAGGTGTGGCCACCAGAAGCACTCCTGTGTTCAGACAATTCACGTAATTTCCTCGTGAGCCAACTGGTGGCAGCTGGTCAGGGAGGACCGCCTCTGCCACAGGTTGGGACTGGCAGTAATGGGCACCCAGATGGAGAAAGTCAGTAGCAGTGTCAGTTGGGCATCTTTTTCTGGGCTTTCTTTGGGTATCACCAGTCTCCTTTTAGGAGTTCCAGGACCCCTCCTGGGGCATGTGGAGGATCACAGGCTGCTTAGTTTAGGTACAATCTTGCAATTATTATCTTCAGTTTTCAGTCACCAAAACGGATTATCAACTTTATAACAAAACTAGCAGGACTTATTTAAAAATTTTAACTAACCCTTTCTGAAAAAAGTGGGAAGGTGGGCTTCCCTGGTGGTGCAGTGGTTGAGAGTCCGCCTGCCGATGCAGGGAACACGGGTTCGTGCCCCGGTCCGGGAGGATCCCACATGCCGCGGAGCAGCTGGGCCCGTGAGCCATGGCCGCTGAGCCTGCGCGTCCGGAGCCTGTGCTCCGCAACGGGAGAGGCCGCGGTAGTGAGAGGCCCGCGTACGGACAAAAGAAAAAAAAAGTGGGAAGGTGGAAGAGGAGGGAAGAGCATTTAAATCCTGTTTTCAGTGACACCATGGCCCCCTAAAACACTGAGCCCTCTGCAATATACTTTCCCCTTACATTTAGCTCGAGCATAACAATGACCTGATTGCACACATTCTGAAACCTCTCTTACCTGTGGGAGAAAGATTTAGAATCGCAAGTTTTGTTTCTTAAATTAAAATAAATTTATGCTGCTGTGGAACTGACCTTCCTGCAGACGGTGTCAGGTGGGCTGCACAAAGCTTATAGTTAGCAAACCAAACTGTGGCTGTGCTACAGGAGAAATGCACACTTCTTGCAGAAAGCATTTGTCTGGATAAACTAAAATAATAAAATTCCCAAGTCCCAGTGGAATTTTCGTCTTCCTGTACACATGTGGGTGGCTTCACGAAACAGTGGCCAGGAACCCACAGATGAGGACTGAATGAAGCAGCACTGTCCTGGTACCTCGTTTCTCTGAGCAGTCTTGCTTCACGTGAACTACCACAACAGTTTAATTTTTATTCCTACATTCTGATATCTGCACGTTTAAAAACGTATCCTCTGGTTTGCTCTCCTGCATGTATTCAACATCTGAATTAAAATGAGTTTTCTTGGTCTCGTTAAGTATAACAGACCTCTCTGATTACCATAGGACAACCATTACCACCAAAAGCCAGTGGTCCATTTGATTTTACGGACTTGCATGTCTGTGTGTCTGTGTGGGTGTGCGCATGCTCGCGCACGCACATGTGCACACACACACAATTTTTTTAAACCAAGAGAGACAGCAAAAAGGCACCAAAAGAGGGAGCCTTATTTCTATAGTTGGCAGGGTGACAGCACCTTGCACTGTTTGGATTTGGGTGGAGCTATCGCCAAAGCAGGAATAGCAGGTGTTGAGAAATTTCAGGAGAACTAGCTGATAGTCACCTAGCATCGTACCTGGTTGTTATTTTGACAGTGTTAGGACAGGGGACCATACGGCGTGGGCAGAGGGGTAGGGGGTGAGGAGGAAAGCTTTGCTATCAGACAGAGGCTGCCAGTCCTTACGGGACTGGGCTGAGAACAACAAGGTGCAATAAGAGGAATCAGAACAGAAAGAAAAGCATTTCTTTTCCCAGGGCCATGCCAAATTCTGCTCCGTCCCCAGTTCCAGGCCTGCCATCCCGTCTTCAAGCCCCTTCTCGGCCGCTTTCTCAGTGACTCCAAGGCCGCAGTCCTCACCTGGCTGACGCCCCTACACTGCACTCTCCCTGCCTGCGGCCTCTGCTTTTCAGTGGGTCTGTGGGTGACAATTCCCCTTCTTTGCACCTGGTGATTCTCCCTATTAAATCAACAGCCCAGAAAGCCGCCCCAAAGTGCTACAGATAAGCCAGGCCAGATGAGAATAGCCAATGTTAACATGTTCTGCGATGGCATGTCGTTGGGGGCGGGGCCAGTATTAATGTGATGAGGCAGCTAAACGCGACTGCCCTTGGGGCAGGTGCGGGGGAGAAAGGGTGGAGGATCAAATCAGCAGCTGCCCCCAGAGCTCGTGTGTGAATGGCCTTTCCACCACGTGGCCCGTTCTAGCATGCTTAGACAGTTTCCACTGGCATGCAGAAGGATCGGCTGCTCTTAGCATCTTACCCTCATCCCTTCAAATCGTGATAAGGCTCTTAAGGGTCTCAAAGCTCTTAGGGTCCTAAGGGACTTTATGGCACCTAGTTCCGAGTAGCCCAGGGCATTAGCTATAAGGCTGACTAAAGAGACCTACACGGAAACAGAAGAGAAAAACAAAAACAAAAAAAGGAAACAAAAGAAAAAGAAAACAGAGGTTCCAGAGTGTTAGAATAAAGCCCCTAGCACTGAGTATACAGATTGGGCCCCGCCCCCCCCAGGAAGAGGAAGTGGGTAACACCAGCTGCCTACTTCAACTTGGACTCAAACGACCTGGAAGGAAAGGTGGTTGAGAGGCAGAAGAAAAAACACAAAGGGAAGAGAACGCGGAGAGAGGGCAGTAGAACAGACATACAAGTTGGCAAAGGGAAGAGGCTGAAGGGAGAGGGAGAATGAGGAAGTTCCATTGGAAGGAGAGGAGCCTGAACAGATGACAAAAACCTTACCCTCGCCCTTTATAGTCTCTGCAGGTCCCCGAAGTTCCCATTAAATTAAGCCAGACAAACTTAATGGTACCTATGGAAAAGAATACAGATAAATACACACACTCCACACAGGCTGCCCCCTCCTCAGCTCATTCACCATGGATTTCCAACAGGGACAAGCTCTCTTACTCCTGGTTGACAAGAAACCATTTGAGAATTGGATGCGTTACTATATCAACAAGGAAACGTATTCAATAAGTACCACAGCTGACTTTGCAGTTCCCAATAAGAAAAGGACCAAAAGAAGAAACTTCTTGATGGAGGTTTGGCTCCATGGGAACTCACTTAAGTGATTCTCTCACTTTTAACCGCAACAATCCTTCCATCTTTTAACTATAACCATGACTCCTTCATGGCCACGAGAGCTTGGGTGGGTCTGGACAACTGAATCCGTATTTTCCCTTATAATCCCCATTCTTTCTCTCCAGAACAGCCCCAAAAGAACTGGCCTCAGGTCTGTCCTTTCCAGGACAATCTTCTATTACTTTCATCATCAGAATAACAGCTGGAAGGGTTCTTGGAATAATGCTTTATTTATAGATGAGGAAAATTGAGACCCATACACAAGAATTTGCCCGGTGTCACACTGGCAGTTCTGGAGCCAGGATTAAGGGCTCAGATGCCTGATTCCCAGGCCAGAGCTCTTTCTCCCATGCATAAGTCACCTCCCTCACTGGAAGGTTGGATGACAAAATCTCAGTAGAGGATTACGGTATCTGAACAATTTGGAGTTGAATATGTTGCCATGCTGGGGAGAAGCAGTCTGGTCTCCGGGCCTAGAGTCACGGTCAAATTCTTTCCTGCTCTTCCACTGGCAAACTCACCTCATTCTGCCAGAGGTCTCAGAACCACGCCGACCCTTAACTATACCCAGGGCTGCCTGGGCCTAACCGGAGAGAGATGTAGCTCTTCAGGGGGCACCAGACCTGAGATACCTTTAGTTAGAATGTTTGGGCTCCTGGCTTTCTTAGAGCAGTCTTTCCTTTATATTGCACCACAAATTCTGGGATCGGTTAAGATGTTTCCATCAACAATTCTTAAATTCCCTCTACTGGGAAGTGGTGATTACAGATCGGCTTGGCCTAAACTGGCATTTTAAGGCAACAATCCATAACTTAGTTTCATTTGTTGCTTTTTCTCTCTAGCTGAGGGATTTACTTCTTTGATTCTGTATCTCTGAACTGTAAAAAAAAAAAAAAAAAAAAGTTGCTTTAAATGAAGATATTTATAATTAAGCAGCAGGGGTAGAAGTAGCAGGTCAATGACCCTAGTGAGGGTCATGGATGAGCAGGCTCAAAGGTTTCAGTTTTTCAAAGGGTTGTGAACCTTCGACTATGCCTGTCCTCGTAACCCATTAGTGCAGGTCTCTCCTCTAGAGTCCTGAGCTGTATCCGAAGCAAATCTGGAATTAAATGCTGCCCTATTAGGCCACTCATGCTCTTTGAAGGGTAGGTGGCTCAGAGGTCAATTTCTGTTCAAAACAGGGCCTCCAAATCCTTATCTAGAACACAGTAGTACCAACCAACCATTTCCCCTCCATCCACCATTAACAGGAAGACTCTCCATGGAGGTGTCTTTTGCCTACTATTGTCAAGCGCAGCCAACTCTTAACCCCCAAGAATCTATAGGTACATCTGAAGGTAAGTTACCTCAACCAAACACATGAGTTCAAAATACCTGAGTCAACTTCATCCTGTGAAACTATGCCAGGTAAAGACTGCAAAAAACTAAGTTTCATACAAGACAAGACAACCCAAGTTCTTCTCGGGGCGGGGGGCGGTGCGTAATTTGATAATAAATAGGCCTACCTAAAGTGGGGGGAAGGGTGGAGGAGGTACAGATGCCAATTCAGAGGCTGGCTCTAAATGGTGCTGAGAGAGAGTCTGCCGCTCAACTCATCAATCTGGCCAAGATCACCCAAGACAGGATCAGCAAGCATCCTATCTGGGTTATTCCTCAACAGTTAGGGGCAATTTTATAATCTGCTGAGTCTCCATGTTAAACTCTCACTGGACATAATCAGAACATTGTTTAGAATTAAGGAAAGAATCAAACCTGAAAAAAAAAAAAAAGGAGTTGAGGGGAAGTCAAAATCCAGGGTATCTGTGGCTTCAGGCATTGAAAAAAAGGGAGAGACACTGGGTGGCTTTTTCAAAATGATGTGAACATTTTCAAATGGAGAATGGTTTCAGTAGTCTGAATTCAGGATGAGGTGAATGGTCTCCGCCAAGTTCCCATCCCTGGAACCGATATGCTGGCTAATCTCCGGATCTGATGTGGTAAATTTCCCTGGGAAAAGATGACAAAATTCTTTTCCAGGACAAGATCTCCAGTGCAGCCAAGGACCTGGGCAAAAGAAAATGTTGTCTCTGTTTGGGAATTCACCTGGCTTATAAACACAGCGAGTTAACCTTGGAAGTTGTCTAGATCATCCCCATGATCCTAAAAAGTGCTCTGAGCAGCTATAAAGGGCAACAAGGAAGAATGAAAATCCATTAGGGAAACAAACATGGTGATGAATAACAGATTCAGATATCAAGTCACCGGTGGATGAAATGGGAGGAAGAGAGTCTCAGAGATGCTCCAAAATGAGGACCTAAAATTTACACCTGCTGGATGTTCTAAAATGCCAAAGGCACTAGACACTTTGTCCAAAAGGACAGCAAAAACTGACAGTTCCACATGTCCAGGTGTCAGCCTAAGCCTTATTCTCCGCCCACAATTCAAAAGTGGCCAACAGTGCAGCCACGGCATGGATCGGGGCTCCCCCCGCCCCCAGCATACTCTGCTTCACACTGGTTATTTGTGTACGTGTCGCATCTTTTCAGTCCTTTGAGAGAAGTGACCTTGTCTTCTGCTCTCTGTATCCCCCCACAATACCTGGCAGGAGGCTTTGTGTTGCGGATGCTCCGTAGACATGAGACATGAAGAACAGATGCACTGCTCTGTCCCAGAGAAAACAGAAGGAAGGTCCTGGGAAAGCCCTGTTCCTGGGACGCTGGATTTCCACAGCCTGGAATCAGGTCAGAGTGGCCCTGCAAGCCAGTGTGAGCTTCCCAGCGGCCGGGACTATGCCTGCCTCTCCCGTGACTCCCTATGGCTTCTGGGACAATTCCACGCGGAGAATGGCATTTCATTTATGTCTGTCTACTAGTCACTGGTCCAGAGGTATTCTCAGGAGCCAGTGTCAGGTCTCACGGCAATGTAAGAATCCAGCAACTCCCCAAAGCCAGGGGGATTTAAGGATTATTGTCAGTTGGCTACATGCCTTTCTCATGTTTTTTGTTTCCCTGCCACCTAGTATAAAAAGTACTAAAAATATTTGCTAAATAAAGAAATGGTGACGTGCAGAATCGTTAATGCTTTTAGCAGCTTATTTGGGTACCAGAGGAATGTGGGATACTTGATCGATACTCACAAATTCTGGGGTTGCCCACCCCAGAGAGAAGAGGGATAGAGTAGTAGAGGTTAGGGTGAACAGGAGGCAGGTCATGGTAGGGAAGAGCTGTTTCTGAATCACAGCTTTCCTAGGGCTGTTGGAAGTGTGGCAGTGGACGTACCTATCCGAGTCCTTGGAAGGTCCAGAAGATGAGGGGCTTCTAGGATTCCCACGGGTGTCCCACCTGATTCTAAGTGGTCCTGAGGAGTTCCAGTGAAATGAAGACTCCAGAGCACTTCCCCTGTTCTGTAGAAAGCAAGCTGGCCCAGTGTCACTTTAGTACTCTGGGCCTTATCCCAAGCCCATTCCTTAGCTCCTAGAACTCGAGCTTTCCACCTGTGAGAGGTAGAGTCCCTTCCATCCAGGGTTGCTGAAACCTCTGGCTAGGAGGCTCTCTTGCTGGCAACTCTGGGGCGATACCTCTCCGGTTCACTCGGATGGCAGACAGCGACCCCCTCACTTCATTTAGGGATCTTCCCAAAGGCTTGCGTTTTGAAATGGGGAATGTAGATAGGAGCACAGTGGCAGCTCTCGGAAGGAGGCACTGAACCACGGAAGCTGCACATGCTGTGTTGGGAAAGGAGTGCATTAACAGAGCAGAGTGCCAGGTGCCTGTTACCTCCCTGCTGCCCTATGCCAGATCCCGGACGCACCCTACGCGTAGTTCACCGTATAGCCAATGAAACCCATATTCTAAATGTATCAACCCAGCCGCCAAGCACTCCCCTTTCTTGGCACTTCTCAGCCCTCAGAAGGAAGTGAAGTTTCCATGGGCCCTGCTCCTGCAATTCCCATTCACTCCCATTCAAATGCTGATTTGGCTGAAAGAAAAAAAGCTTCAGTGATTAGACAGAATAAGAAACACTCATCATGGTTAGAAAACCCAATAAGGAACAAGTCATGGTGGGGTGAGAAATAGTGTCAGGTGATGCAGCTTCCACCCTGAAAAATAACATGGCAGGCGAAGGCCGCTGAGCTGTGGAGATGGTCTCAAAACCTGGAGGAAAAAGGATTTCTTAAGAGTTTGATCACCTCTGTGGAAATGCGACGTGTGGGAAGAGGGGGGGCTTTGTTTCGGGGGGACTCCTCCTCGCCCTGACAGTCTGACTTGTTCAGATGAGTCTAGTATGAAGACTTGAGGTGGACGGGAGTGTCCCCGGGGACGGTCGGCAGGAGAGTCTACTTAGATCCCACCACCACCTCCGTCCCAGCAGCACCCACCTCGTCCTCTGAGCCCTCTCCTGGCGGCAGGAGGAGGACATCACACTGGCTTGGGGACACAATCCTCCTGTTCCCAGCCTAATAACAAGGCTCTGACACCAATGATTCTGCCCAGTCCTAACCTCTGAAACTTCTAGGCCAAACCACCAGAGTAAAGAGCTGCTGAGTTAGTCCCTGGAGCAAATGCAGGACTTCAGAGTCCCTTTCCAAAGTTACGATCTGAGTGCTCCAAAGGGAGCTGTAGTGCTCTATCTACATCTTGTCCTACACCCTGGGCCCCAGGCAACTCCAGCCGTTAGAGGAAGGACAGTCCCTGTTTTTGCTTTCCTGTTGGCATGGGTGGGAAGTAGAAAGCAGGACACGTACAGCCACGATGAGGAAGTCCAGCCAGCACCAGGCATTGGTGAAGAACTTGACGAAGCCATAGGCTATCCACTTGAGCAACATCTCCAGGATGAAGATATAGGTGAAGACTTTGTCAGCGTACTCCAGGATGGTACGAATGGTCTTCCTCTGCTCAATGTAGATGTCCTCGAAGGCCTGGAAGAGAGGTAGCAGCTACCTATAGTGCCTAAAGGGGAACGAGCAACACAGAGGTACCGCCCCCCTCTGCAGCCCTCCCACCTGCGGCGGCCCGTCATCAGCTCCCTGTCTCTCTCTCTCTCTCCTCTGCTACACGTGGCTTTCCTCTTTAAAAAAGCGTTCTTGAGATGTAATTCACATACCTCACAATTCAGCTATTTAAAGTGTACAATGCAATAGCTATTAATACAATTCAGAGTCATACATCCATCACCACAATTTGAGAATATTTTCATTACCCCCCAAAGAAACCCCACACCTCTAGCTGTCACCCTCTAGTCTCCCAATCTCCCTCTAGTCCTGGCAACCACTCATCTATCTTCTATCTCCACAGGTCTAATCCTTCTGGACATTTCGTATAAATGGAATCATATAATATGCGGTCCTTGGCGACTGGCTTCTTTAACTTAAAATAATGTTTTCAAAGTTCATCCATATGGCAGCACCCCTCAGCATTTCATTTTTCTTTTTATCGATGAATAATGTTCTAGTTATGGCTCTACCAACATTTTGATTATCCTTCATCAGTTGATGGACATATGTGTTGTTTTTACTTTTTGGCTATTGTGAATAATGCTGCTATGAACATCTGTGTACAAGTTTTCATGTGGACATGTTTTTATTCCCCTTGGGTATATACCTAGGAGTGGAATGGCTGGGTCATTGGTAACTCAAGTTTAATTTTTTTGAGGAATTGCCAAAATGCTTTCCAAAGAGGCCGGACCAGTCTACATTCCCACCAGCAGTAGATGAGGGGTCCAATTTCCCCACATCCTTGTTAACACTTTATATAATTTATAGGACAAAAATTTTTCTCCCTTCAGCCCCTGACACCACAGACACAGGTGGAGAGTTACAGGACTGGAAGACACCAGGTGAAGAGAATCTCAACACTCCTTTCTTTCTCTGGAACTCCCAAATGAGGGGATGAGCCTCTGTCATGTGAAGGTCTGAGCACTCGTGCATGCAGGAGGGTGGACTGCAGAAGCTCTGTGCTGGGGGGAGGGAATCCCTGAAGCATGGGGAAAAAAAAACCTGGAGGTGGACAAAAGGTCCTGTGCCCTGCGGTGGAGGAGCCTGCTCTGAACAGTCCCAGAAGGAAGGGCAGAGGCAGGCTGCCCGCAGACTCTCCTTCCAAAATGGAGGCACACGGACATCCAGGTTCACTGCTGGGCAGTGGGGACAGAAATCATGGGTCCACAGTCCTCAGGGTCTGGTACAAATCAATCCCCTCCACTCAGTGGAAAAGCTATAGCTTCCCTGTCACGTTTCCCCTTAGCTCCCCCTGTAGAGATCCATCCTAGAACCCAACATGTGTGAGCTGTCTGAGACTGTTCATCCTGTCACTGGGGGCTCTGATCCCCCTCTGAGACCTCCTCACAACCACATTCTAGTCTTTTCTTGGACATTTTAGCCGTGGCTTCACTTGACTTGAGTCTCATGCTACTACTGCACAGGGTCTTCATGTCCTGAGCCCGGTCTCCCCCGTTTTATTCACCTTTGATAAATAAAGACTGTCACAGGTAGCAGTGAAGAAGGTTCAATACTATTGTTTCACTGCTGCTTCCACTCTTTTGCGTAGAGACGGGGGAAGAGAAGAATCAAAGGGTGAGGCATGTCCTCTCTTATTCTGGGTTTTCATTTACTAGATTTGAAGAGTAATGATGACAACAGTAATAAAAGACCTTCCTCAATCCCTGGCCTGAGTCTGATCCTTTCTCAAGGGCAGGGCCTGCGCCGTCATCTTGGGGCCTCCACAGGCCTCAGGATGCCTGTTGGTGCAATACACGGCCCGGGGGCAGGCAGGATGGTCTGGCTCCCCTTCACTAGGGATGGAGGCTTTTTTTTGCCTCCTGCCCTAGTCCTGACGCTTTCCTGCATTGCTCACCACCCCCCACAACTCCCCACTGTTCACCGTCATCTTCACGCTCGGGCTCTTCTTCACCACACGTCACTTCCTGTCTCGGCTTCTCCTATTCTCCTACCTCACAAGTCAGAGAAACTTCTCAAGTCACTGGGGGATCTTTAACACTAAATCTGGGGCTTCTCTCTTGTTATTTTTTGCTTCCAGATTAGGCTCTAATTCCGCACCTACATGAATGTGCCCACCTTCTTTAAAAGCATTTCAAAATCCAGCATTCTTTACTTTTCCCTTAATTAAAAGAAGGAAAATGTGTTGTGTCTCTAGTCCCTGCTGTCTTCGAATCTACTCGACTAGGAAGCAGCTCCCTCACAGCAGACCCTGTGCAGATCTCCTCAGTTAATAATCCTGCTAAAAAATGAAAGTAAACGCCAAGATAATTAGTCCTAGTAGGGGAGGAACCTGTGTGTTCAGTGCCCTGTGCGCCTCGCTGACTAATGAGAAGCAGGTACAACCACGTGAATATGACCTTTGTATCAGAGATCTGACTCTTAGTATCTGCTAAGGCCGTGGGTTCTCCAAGTCCAGCAGCGTATGACGGGAGAGGGGGTGGAGGGGTACCACCTCCCTCCTACCTTGGGCAACTGAAAAGTCAAGAACTAGTGATTCAGGGTATCAGGCGAGAAAGGGAAGCTCATCTTAGGAAGTTGTTTTGAATGGCGCAAACTAAGCAGTGAAGATACTTGGTAATCTGTATTCTCTGCCTGATGAAAAGGGGCTCCTAGGCTTCAGAGGGATCGTGCTGAGTCTAAAGATGAAGATTTGGACAAGTTTGAATCCTAATCCCGAAGGCTTATAACACCAGCTCGAAGCACTTCAGCAGATCATTATTCTTGGGTCTACAGTCAAGCCGTGTTCTCAGAGAAACTGGGCTTGGGCCCACCCAGTCCTTCCTGCTCTACCCCTTCCCCGGCCAATCCCCCATGGTTCTTTCCCCCGGACCTCACCAGGGCGCCACTGCTGAGCAGAATCATGAAGATGATGAAGGTCTCAAACCAATTGTGCTCCACAATGAGGAAGCAGGTTTTCCGCAGGATCCACCAGGACTTGCCCAGCCCCTCCTCAATGTTGACCTGGCAGCACGTGAATCTCTGGACACAACCTGGCACCAGCGGGAGAGGCAGGTCAGACTGTGGGATGTGCCCCGCCCAGATGTGCCCTCTCCTCCTTCTCCCAGGCCCCACCAGGTGCTGCCCCACCACACAGCCAGGAGTTCAGTGGCTGAATCAGAAGGTCTGACTCAGAAGTGGAGAGGATGGCAGGGCTGAGGCCATGCTGCCAGGCTACCAGGGCAAGGCCCTCTGGCGCTGGGAAGATGGCCTATAAAGAAGCAGTGAGAGGCAGGAGAAAAGGGTGGTCAGGAGGCAGGCACGGCCATGACAGGAGAGGCCTTTCTAATGGAAGTTTGGGGCTGACGTCAAGAAAAAAGGACAAAGAAAAGCCTGAGAGTAAAAACTCGTGATAGCTAAGACTCAAATAGGGGAAACAGTATCAACCTCCCTCAAAATGATGAGGCGGGGTGAAGACAGCCATAGAGCGCCCCTCCCCAGCCAACCACTGACCCTGGGAGGGATGTGTCTGTGAGCAGTGCAAGTGCCACACGCCATCCCCTCTCCTGGCCCCCTTTCACCTTCTGTGAAACAGGCATCTGGATCCAAGTATTCCTCAGGCTGTTCCACAGGGACTTCTTCTACTTCTGGTTTGATGTCAATGGTGCTGCCTTCAGAGGAGCTAGTGTCATCCAGTTTCTAGATACACAAGGAAAAGGGAGAGAAGCAACACTGCAGCAACACGTCCGCTCTACACTGACTGCGCTACCTTGGTACAGATGATGTACCGGATACAATTCTTGTTACAAACCCATGATCATCCAGTTCCTCACAGGCAAACGACTACCACAGCACCCTCAAAACTTCTGTCAGGATGGGGCACAACATTAAAGCCCACTCACAGACGACAGTGATCTACCCTAAGCAGAAGGTGGGCTACAGATTGGTCTCAGTAATACAGCTCAGACAGATTAATGGCAGGGAAGTACTTGACGGTTTTCTCCAGCCTCTGGATCCAGACGATCCAGAAGCAATGGAGACAGATCTGGGAACATCACAGGAATCTAGCTCATCTAGAATAACAATGGGGGGTGGGTAGGGTTGGTTCTCAAAGTTGAGAGTCGCCTCTTCCAGAATCTCTCTGCCAGACCCATAGCTGAACCGACGCCTTGGGGCTGACAGAGCCGTTTGTTCTCACATAGGATCAAGACTGGTTTCTAGGCTAGGACCTTACATCTTTGCTGCCTTCAGGATCCGACTCGCTGCTAACGTCCTCAGTGTTGAGGTTCTCAAAATCAGACTCGCCTACCGCGATGGGCACTCTCACGGTCAGGTTGGGATTGTTGATGAAGGACATGTGGTCCTCATCAATGATGTACTTCTCCACGCTGCTGCCAATGCCGCTGGTCGTGCCATTGCCATTCTTCTGGAAGTCACCGTTCCGGTGGATGTCGGCGCCAGTGTGGTTGGCGATGCAGTTGGCCTTCTTTTCGTACAGCTCATCCAGAGGTTTCACCTCATCGGCCTCGCGCTGCCTGAAGTGGGCCTGCATGAAGGCGTGCACTTTCAGTTTGGTCCAGGCCACGCCCTTCTTGATCCGGATAACTGAGATCTGTAGGTTGTTCATTTCCCCATCATCATCTGTGGCTGCCAGGTTGTCAGCACTGAAGGAGCTCAGGAGCAAGGCCAGAAACAGGTTCAGCACCTGTACCACGAGCATGAGGAAAAAGGAGAGTGAATGTAGAATGGTATTGGGTAAAGGCATCCACTAAACTAGGGTTGCAAACTGGGAGCCCACAGACTTATGTGAAAGACTCAAGAGTTTCTATTGTGTTTCACTTGACCCACGTAGTGTTTTAAATGTCACTGGGTGGGCATTTTGTTTGGTTTTGGTTGTAATACAAGGAGTTTAGTACCCCTTTTCTTGGTTCTTTTGTAGTGTTATATACATATATATGTACTTCAAAACATACTGCTTTTCTTATAATCCGAGAAAGCAAAGGCTGTATCCATTTTGGGAGAAAATTCCCCAAAAATAAAAACAAAAAGGTGGGCATGGGTTATTGGGGAGGATCAAAGAATGCATAGATGCCATGTGTTCATGAGCAGCAGATGTCCTGGAGGACCCAGGTTAGAAAAAAAGTAGGCTTGGAGAGCCAGACTCTCATACCACAAATCTAGAAGGTGGAACTGAAATATATTTGATGTCACCCTCTTTTAAGAATTAATTTTCTTTGTTTTCCTAACATTTATCAAAATTAAGTAGCTCTAGCAAGACAGTCATGGTGACTTTTGTGTTCTATCACATATCGAAGTGTCAAGCCATCGGAAACAAGCTTTATTTATGTTGTCTTTTCCCCTATTTCACCACATTGGGCATTAAATTAATGATTTTTATTAAGACTTACTTTTGAAAAGTGGGAGAGATGTTCACTTCTTGATTTACACTTGGCCCTTACTTTGTCACACTTCTGAAGAAGAGTAAGGCATAGTTTTTCGGTGGAGATGATCATATGTGCAGAGTGGGAGAAACGGAAACAACGTATGAACTATATGTATCAGGATCACTGCGGCCATTTGCAGAATTACAAAGGGATATGGTCGGTAAAATGCGGGTCAGCTGCAGAAGGCTTTGAAGGCCAGGCTGAAAGACCTGAATTTTATTTAACTGGATTCACTACTGGTCCTTGAGCAAAGGAGTCACAGGTGATGACAGAGATGTGAGAAAGTCGTTCCTACTAGCTACGCACAAGGGTCGGGGGTGGGGGGCGTGAGGGGGGACTAGGAATTAGGAGGCTGTTGCTTGCATGAATTGATGAGGGTCTGGATTAGGCTATAGTAACCTCAAACCTTAGCATGCAGAAGAATCTCCTGGGGTGGGATGCTTGTTAAAAACAAGCATTTCCTTGGCCTCGCCTGAAAGATTCTGATTCAGTAGATCTGATGTAAGGCCTGGGACTCCGCCTCTTTTAATGAGTGAGACTCAGGTGACTGTGATGAAGGTGGTCTTCCTCACACTTTTAGAAATAACAGATGGGTTGTAGAAATGGAAAGGAAGGGGCAGATCTCAGAAATACTAGAAGATGTAGGTATAGAAATGCTAAGAAGAAAGACATATGAAAGACATCAGATATTTACTAGGAGTGGAGAGAAAAATCAGAAAGAGTTATAGGTTACTAGAGACTACATGGGCAGAAGAACTGAGCCAAGGGAAACTGGGAAAGATGTCATCAGAGGCAGAAATAATAGTGGATTCTGTCATGTGCTCAGGTATCTATAGCCAGTCATGGGGAGATGCCCCTGAAACAACTGAGAAAAGGAGGCTAGAGAAACGGTAGGAGGTCAGGGCTGGTAATGTTGATCCCACTACAGACCAGTAGGCAGCAGTTGTATTCACTGAAGGAGTGGAAAGACCAGAGGAATCAGGACTGAGGGGAAGTTGGCTGGGCATGGAGAATGCAAGTGATTAAGGAACATTACAGTGTCTATTTTTATAGGTCCAGTGAAAGAATAGGGGGAGCATGGCTAGTTCAGAGGTTGGTGAGTAGGCACCCTCTACTGGCATATGCTTCTCTGTGGCAGAAAAAGGAAGACACCTACTGTGGATGCGCTTATAAGGGGTCATCTGAGTATGCCTTCTTCCAGCCCTCCCTGCTCTACAGTTGCAAGTGGGCTTTGGCCTGACCTGAAAGATGAGTGCTTCTCAAACTTTAGCATGCATATGAATCACCTGGGGATCTTGTTAAAAATGCAGGTGCTAATTCAGTAGTTCTGGGGAGGGGTCTGAGATTCTGCGTCTCTAGGACACTCTCAAACGATCTCATTGTTGCTGGTCCTCAGATGACACTTTGAGAAACAAGGTGTGAAGTCTCTGTTGGGGAATGTTCTATATACAGAGGCAGAAGACAGCAGGCAGACAGATCAGAGTAAAGCAAGAAACTGATCTGCAACTTATACAAATTAGATAAAATCCTGGGATGGTTTAGATCCATGTTTCTCAATGGAGGGCAATTTTGACCCCTGAGGACAGTTGGCAATGTCTGAAGACATGTTTGGTTTTTACAACTTGGGACGGGAGTCACTATTGGACAGTAAAGAGTAGAGGCCGGGATACTGTAAACACCCTACAACATGCAGGAAAGTTCCACAACAAGTAATGATCTAGCCCAAAAGATCAATATTGTCAAGGTCGGGAAATTCTTTTTTTTTTGTAGCAGAAAGAGCATAGATTTTGAAGTCAAGGATCTAATATAAGCCCTGACTCTTTATCAGCTGTGTGACTTTGGAAAAATGTCTTAACTTTGCTGAGTTTTGTTTCCACAACTATGAGAGAGGGTTGACAGATTATGGGGCTCATGACCTAGTAGGACTCTGAAAACAGCAGTCTCCTTTCCTTCATTTGTACCTTAGGGTTCTTCAGCCAAGAAAGAATAAAGACCAACACAGACATGGAAGGTAGTAGAAGCACTAAGCAGACTGGGCTTCTGGGTCAAGGGTAAGATGTTCAGAGCGAAGAACAAAAAGATCTACAAGTTAGTACTAACCACCAAGTTGCCGATAACCATGACCATCATGAAGACAATGAGGCACATGGCCTGGCCGGCCACCTCCATGCAGTCCCACATGGTCTCGATCCACTCCCCGCATAACACTCGAAAGACGATGAGGAAAGAATGAAAAAAGTCATGCATGTGCCAGCGAGGGAGTTCACAGTCCTGGTTGATCTTGCAGACACACTCTTTGTAGCTCTTTCCAAAGAGTTGCATTCCCACCACGGCAAAGATGAAAACGATAATGGCCAGCACCAGGGTCAGGTTGCCCAGGGCACCCACTGAATTTCCAATAATCTTGATCAGCATGTTCAGGGTGGGCCAGGATTTGGCCAGCTTGAAGACTCGGAGCTATGGGAAAAAAAAAACCCCAACAAAACCCAAGTGAAACTCAATTCATTTATTCTTACCACATGGCTACAATAAAAACATATGAAATTACTAAGATCATCTTAACATTTATTGAGCACCCTTGGGAAATCCCCAGGACTTTCTAACAGTATCTTAGACGAAAATGAGAGAAACTGAGGCAAAGATGAAGGAAAACAGATTAACTGCACAGGAAGTGAAAGATTTAAAACTAAGAACCAAGAATACTGCCTCTAGTCCCCTGAATTAGTCTCTGGGTCAATCTACCTTTTAAAAATCCATACCTGAAATAATCCTTTTCCCACTGATTTTCCCCTGACTTCTCAAGGGGCGTATCAAGGAAAATGTGATTTGTAGTGAACCAAAAGGTCAGTTGGGTAAGGACGGTGAAAATAAGTCATCTGTCTCTTCAAAAAAGCAAGCATTTAAAAATTCTACATACCTCTCTTTTTGCTTGCCAATAAATAATCAATCGCTGATATGAAACTTCGTGACATGCTTGGAATAACTTGGAGGAAAACGACAACCTCCAAGTAGGGGAAGTTCCAATATGTCAAATATCTTATGAAAAGGGACTATCCTGATATTAATTCAGAGGACAGAACTTTTGGTATCTGTCAATCACGCGATTTCTGTATTCTGTAATGAATGATTACAAGGTCTTGGCTACTAGCCTGAGGATTATAATGCATGAAGCCCATGAACAGAGATCGTCATCATATGTCTTAAGTTAATAACTAACACGTGATGTAACAAGAATTCTGGTAGATGGCAACAGCACTGATTAGGACTTTTTTTTTCCTATTGAGAACTTGAGTCTTCGTACATTGTTAGTGGGACTGTAATTTGATGTAACCCTTGAGGAGGGCAAGCTGGCGTTACGTGGCAAAAGTATCTGCAGATCTATCTCTGAGCAAGCAATTGCACTCTTAGAAGGTTGAACTTACTGTATTTAGGTTAATGGTGTATATGGTAAATATTTGTACTATCCTTTGATTATAAAAATAAACCTCAATAAATCTAAAAAACAAAAAGAAAACTTGAATCGTATCTGACAGCTCCAAGATTTACCAGATGTGGCTCTGTGCATACTCTGGGTCTCTCATATTTTTTCCCTATTCTGACTGGCTTTTAATTTATCAAGAGTATTAGTGGCAAGGCTTCTATCTCTTAATTCTTCATCTTATCTTCTAGATAATAAGAAGTATTCTCAAAAAGTCTACTGTGGGCTGGATCCTAACCAAAGACCAGTAAGCAGAGGTTCCAGAAACTTGACAAATTTTTGTGGCTTGGATTCAATGAGATTTCTGTTTTATAAACAGTTTCACTCTAATCCAACTCTATTTCTTAGATATGCTGAATATCCTGAAATCTTTTCAGTTGCAAGTGCTTAGGTATCTTCCCGATAAGGAGATGCTTTGTCTGATGCTCTGTCTGAGTGGGATATGCCCACGATAACTCAGCTTCTCAAGGGCCTTAATCAGGACATCACTTATGCCTATGCATATGGGAGGCTACTTCGAGGATATCGTTAACTATTCTTTCAAAGGCATTTTAGTAATTTGAACACTAACTTCTTCAAATACATTTGAAAAATCTTTCTTAGCTAATGATGGATGTTCAACTACTAATTTCAATATAACTTTAAAAAACATTACTTTATTCTCATATTTTGGAAGGGGTCACCATGATACAAGAAAAGAGTAGAGCCATCTTTGAAAAAGAAGAAATTCTTGCCACTTCAGGGAGATGTTCAGATAAAGAAAGAGGCTCACTAGCAAATCCAAATTTGACCTCAGAATAGCCCTTGGGAATCCTTCTTCTTCGTCTTTTAGATTAACCATTATTTTCTGAGAAACTTCATAAAGTTGATTTCTGTTTGTTGACTGATTTTAACAACTACTTTCTATATTAGGTAGTTAGCAGAAAAGTTTTCAATATTTTAGTTGCTAAGCCAATAAACAGCCAATGAAATATAGCTAAAGATTTTAAAAAATCATCAGATTATCTTATGCAAAACTCTTTCTAGTAGCTGCAAGATAGGAAATATATAAAGAAATTGGAGAAATATGGAATACCAATCGGAAAGATCGCAGCACCGAAAGCCCCTCCACGTCTGCTAGACTCAGTTCCATTAAACTGAGGGAGACAATAAATCCATCAAAAATGTTCCAACCTTCTTGGAAATAATAGTAGGGATCCATGGCTATGAGCTTCAGGAACATTTCCGCTGTGAAAATTCCAGTGAAAACCTAAAGAGGGGAAGTCAGGGGGTAAGAAAAAAGAAATAATAAAAAGAAAATGCCTTTATCATTATCTTTGAATATGGCATGTCCAAGAAGCCACAAGCACCAGCCTTGGCTAAATTCTGCATCTGAGGCCGACAATACCTGGATGTCCCCTGACCACGCCACATGATGCAGGAAAGTCTTATTTTCCTCTTTTTTTTTTTTTTTTTTTTGCTGTATGCGGGCCTCTCACTGTTGTGGCCTCTCCCGTGGTGGAGCACAGGCTCCGGATGCGCAGGCTCAGCGGCCATGGCTCACGGGCCCAGCCGCTCCGCGGCACGTGGGATCCTCCCGGACCGGGGCACGAACCCGCGTCCCCTGCATCGGGAGGCGGACTCTCAACCACTGCGCCACCAGGGAAGCCTTTATTTTCCTCTTGAATGAAGAGGAAATGTTCACATCTTTGTTGCCAGAACTACCCAATTCATATTGTCCAAACGTGCAGTTAAAAAATTATTCTAAGCAATTGAAAATATCACACAGGTGACTCCTAAGGGGTCAGCAGTCATTTGAATGCGTATGCCACATTTGGGATGTTGGCCAAAAAAAAATCACTCATGTTATAATTATATTTAAAAAATACAGTATTATTCCTGATTTGACATTATGTGCCTTCTCAAACGTCGACATATACTGCAAGCCTTCTTATTTTAAATGGTAAAAGCAACAGAACATTGCTAAAAGTGTGAAAAATACAGGAGAAACGTTCACAGTCTCACCACCTTGCATACAACTATTATTTTAATGTACTCCTTTTCTTTCTTTTTCTTCAAATGCATATATATTTTGTCAGAGTTGTAAACCACAGACTACATAATATTTTAGCTTTACACTTATCTTGACTTATCACGACTCATTTCACTTATCACGTATTTTGCATTTATCGTGACTCCATTCACGTTGCAACACCTAATTCTCACTTTTATTGTTTGTATAATATTCTATTGGGTAAATATATCCTCAAAGAATTTTCTTATTGTTGGAGACTTTGGTCCTTCCTTTTGATTTTTTCAATATCATAGTCAATAATGTAGTAATTGTTTTAGGTTTGGAGCTTATTGGGTACGAGAATGACTTCTTCCCTGTGTTACCTGGCTCCCGCTTTTCTGCCTTTCAGAGCAGAAACCTTGTGTTTCCCAATGCTTTCTGTATCCTTCCCAAGGCCTTAGTAACATAACATGCAGGGAGAGAGTAAAATCCCATGAACTCCAGTTTTGACAAGACCAATACCCTCATTCTAGCCTAAGCATGTAACATACGACTATTACTGAATATTCTATTTTTAGAGGAGAGGACTTTACACGCAGCAGATTTAAAATTCATAGTAAGTTAATACTTGTAACCACTTCGTTACCAACTTTACATATGAAGAAGTTTGAGGAAAACTTTGGAGATATGGTCTGAGGACAGAATTAAAAATAGTGAAAAATACTTAGATTACAGACACTGTTTTGAAACACACTGAGTTAATGTATAGCAATAAACAGAATGACTTGATGAAAACACAACAAAATGGATAAACGGGCTGGAAATTTTTGGGGTCCATATACGTTTCTATGGTTCCCCCACTTTGCTAAATTGAAGATGCAGTATTCTAAAACTGAAAGAAAATATTCCCTGAAGAGATCTGGTTAAGTTAAATCAAAGTTCATAGTGCAAGCTAAGCGTCTACAAATAGAATACCACTCTGCGTGAGGTCAGGAAAGTAGGGGCAGTGAATCAACTCCTGACACACACTTTACCCTTAACATCAGCCCATCAAAGGTTTCTCTACATAGAAACATTAACCCACTGGATGCACACTAAGTAGAGACTGAATTTGCTGTCCCGTTAGTTCTTGGTGAGCATACAGTAAGTGCTCAGTAACAAGCACGGGCTGACTGACCTCGGAATATCTATACTGTGGGAACTCTGGTTCCTGACAGAAGATCAATGACACAGTTGTGTGGTGCTGCCTTTCAATGGGATGAAAGGCCTCCAGGCGCCTGGTAGAAATGCCTGTGACAGAGGTCGGCACCCATGTTGTTTCAGCACATAGTGTGCTGCCCTCGTTTGGGGTTTGGGTGAAAATAAATTTGTAACTATTGGAAGGAATTAAATGGAGAAGAGTAGATTTCAGGTTATCCATTTGATGCCATTCTTCTTGGCACTGTGATATGCTTCTTGAGGAGAAAAAGGAACTACAAGGACTTCCTCGGTGGTGCAGTGGTTAAGAATCCGCCTGCTAATGCAGGGGACACGGGTTCGAGCCCTGGTCCAGGAAGATCCCACATGCCGCGGAGCAACTAAGCCCGTGCGCCACAACTACTGAGCCTGAGCTCTAGAGCCCGGGAGCCACAACTACTGAGCCCGCGTGCCGCAACTACTGAAGCCTGCGCGCCTAGAGCCCGTGCTCTGCAACAAGAGAAGCCACCGCAATGAGAAGCCCGTGCACTGCAACGAAGGGTAGCCCCTGCTCTCCGCCAACTAGAGAAAGCCCACGTGCGGCAACAAAGACCTAACACAGCCAAACACAAATAAATAAATTAATTAATAAAAAAAAATAAGGGAACTACAAGCAGCACATCAACTGTATATAAATGTCCCTCTTGTGAATGTCATCAAATATTCACCTAAGAATTTATGTTCTAGTGCAGCAGATCTCAAAGTGTAGTCGGGGATCCCTGGGGTCCCTAAGACCTCAATGGCCTTAGGAAGGAAGCAATGAGGATGTGTTGAAAGGATACAGAAGCCACCTTGAAGGGACTGCTACTGGCCAAATCAGGAATGGTTTAAACATCTAAGTACATGATAGTAATGGATTAAAATAAAACCCACTGAATAAGACTGGAAACTTTGAGTCCATACAGATATAAGTAAGTAAAGGAATAAATCAAAAGTTTAATGAAAAACAGGAAATTTAGATAGCTTCAAAGTGTCTTCCTCACAAACACTTATTAATTATAAATGGAAAAAGAGTAACTGTACAGGGGAGAAGCCTGGCAGAACCTCCTTAATCAAGTGATCAAGTGACCACAGGCAGAAATGGGACAAATGCAAATCACGTGCCACCTGGTAGATGTAATGAGAAGATGACAGTCTTGCTTGTGCGACAGTCCTGCAAAAGCCCAGGAGAATGTACTTGTTTGTAAAAGCACACTACAGTATTTGGGGGTGACAGGCTGCGTCAGCAACTTACTCTCAAAAAATAGTTTTTTACGCTGTACTTGAAACTTCTGTAAGATTAAGATTGTTTAAAAAACCACGTTATAAACTCACTGTTGTGTTCAAATGGTTACCAAAAAAAGCCAAGAAAAGAATCATTACGTTTATCTACTAAACAATACAAAAGTCAAGTAGCTTCCCTGGGTTCACTTTCCTCTATAAAACATGGGGGTTGGATCGAATTATCTTTACTCTTCCTCCTATTATGAACATTTTTTTCTTATGGGGAGGATGGAAGAGGCAGGGATTGCCAATTTACAGAATGCTGTTCCCATCTTCCCTCAAAAACATCTATCTGCACGTTTGTGGACAAACACAACTCAATTCACTGTCCCAGCTGTGGGAAAAGCCTCACCGTCCAACCACAAGAGAAGGTCCTAGGGCTTCCCTGGTGGCGCGGTGGTTGGGAGTCCGCCTGCCGATGCAGGGGACGCGGGTTCGTGCCCCGGTCCGGGAGGATCCCACATGCCGCGGAGCGGCTGGGCCCGTGAGCCATGGCCGCTGAGCCTGCGCGTCCGGAGCCTGTGCTCCGCGGCGGGAGGGGCCACGGCGGTGACAGGCCCGCGTACCGCAAAAAAAAAGAGAAGGTCCTAGTCTATTTCACAAGCTAGTCCACCCATTTTTTTGTTGTTGTTCTCTTATTCTCAGGTTCAGTCAAAGGCTGTATCCAAATCTCCAAGCCTTTGAAAATTCTCCTACTGAACTACACTTATACAGTTTCTAGTATGGAGAGTACTTTTCACTCGTCCAAGTACTTCTGTATAGCTTCTCATTTTTTCCTCCCAACTACTGATGACATGGTGTCATCCTCATTTTACAGATGTAAAACATTTCCCGACAGAAATCAATGGCTTATTTAAGGCTAATATGTCCAAAACAGAACTCCTGATTTTAAACTCCACCCCTGTTCCTTGCTCAGTCATCCCCATTTCCCCCTCGGTTACCAAACTTCCCCAATCTAGGCACCATTCCTGATTTCTTTCCCTCAACCCTCATGTCCAATTCACTGGCCAGTCCAAAGTATCCTGAACCATTCACTGTTCTCCATCCCCACTGCTAATCAGACATTACTTTTCCCTTGAAAACTCTGCCCCCGGAGTGCTTTCTCTTTGTAGAACTTGGTTCTGGTTGGCTTAGCTCAGGAAGTCCCTGAATGTTAGCTGCTGACCTTCTCCCCTCTCCCTCTTCTTCAGTGATGATTCTGAGCAAAGTCTTCTGAATGCTCACGACTCTAACTTAAGTTTTCTTTTTTTTGGGGGGGGGGGCTGTGCTGTGCAGCATGCGGGATCTTAGTTCCCCAACCAGGGATGGAACCCGTGCCCCCTGCAGTGGAAGCAGTGGAAGGGTGGAGTCTTAACCACCTGACTGCCAGGGAAGTCCCCTCTAGATTTTCAAGAAGCGAAAAATAACGTTATTTGCTGGCCTGGTCTGAGGGCAATTCTGCTGGTAGTATGTGAAAAGGCCTCTCAAAATCCCTTGGAAATCAAGGACTGATTCTGTGAAAAGCAAGTAAAAGTAAAGACTTTGAGAAAAACAAAACACTGCAGGAAACACATCACTGCCACTACCATCAACAACAAAGTTGATCAAGTCATATTTCTCGTTACATAACTATTGGCTAACAAAATAAAGCTTATATCTATATGATATTGTTGATTGGCTCAAAATGCTGCTTGATGGCCAAGCCCCAGGGTCGGCCAATCACACAGCAAGCTACCTTCAGAGGCCTTTCAGAGACAGTTAACAGGTTTCCTGGATAGTCTATGAGGGTATCCTGTTTCAAGACTCTGGGTATTTCATTGAGCCGCACATTGCAGTAGTGAGTCGGAAGTGTGTCACTAACTCAGACGTAAAGATTGGGAAGATTACAGTATCACCTTGGATGTGTACTGGGGAACATCAGCTGTAAGGACTAACCAGTGTGTGTTTTCCAAATCAGCAGTCAAAATGATAACACTTTAATAGTGTATTAGGACTTAAGGTAGAAACTCTGTGTGTGTGTGTGTGTGTGTGTGTGTGTGTGTGAAAGAGAGAGAGAGAGAGAAATACCAGGCAGAGATCATGCACAAATTAAATGGTAACAACTAGATTTGACAGGCCTATAGTGCAACTCCTAAGGAATAATGCAGCCAGATGACCTAGAGGATTCTTTCCAACTAACTCTTTACAGTCGATCAAAATTCAATCAACTCCTGATTTTTGTACTAAAGAAGTAAAACAGGAAATCCCCCAATTACAACTACTTGACTTCACGATACACGACATAATCTATTTTTTTAGAACTGCATACTTATCTTCTAAATAATATAAATGAATCACTTAAACCAACGTTAAAATAAATTTGGCACAGATCAACTAATGCTAGAAACTGGATGACACTCAGAAGTTGGACAGGAGGGGAAACCAGCCTGGAATTTAAAATTTCCCGTGGACAGTCCCCATATGGATAATTAAGATATGACGGTGTGGGCAAATTTATCATTAGATTTAACGCCCTGAAAGAGCTCCCCTATTTTGTGGTGGTTGTTACTGAAGGTGAAAAAGGGGAAGCGGTTTGCTGGAGTAATGCAGGAATTAATGTGAGAAACAGAATGAGAAAGAAATCCACAAGTCCTTGGCTCAGGTTGCGGAAACCAACCCACTGTACCATGCCTCCCATTCTGCAACCAACAGCTCCTAAATGACGTCTTCAAAGTTCTGCAGAAAGAGGAAACAGCCAAGGGATCACAACAGTGAGCGGAAGCGGCGGGGCTGCGGCATATGTGGAAGCATTTGTCTTCCAATTAACTATTACTTTCTTTTCAACTAAACTCCAGCTTTCAGTCTCAGAAAAATAATTCCTACAGGCAAAACCCGTCCAGATGGTCAGAGCAGGAGGCCGTGCCCCATCTTACCAGATTTCCTACAGTCAAGACATGTTCAAACTGTGGCGTCATAGGATGGTGCTCCATTGCCATAAACAGTGTATTCAGGACAATGCAGATGGTGATGGCCAAGTCCACAAAAGGGTCCATAACGATCAAGTTTACAATCTCTTTCAGCTTTATCCAGTAGGGGTGACACTCCCAGATGAGGAAAGTGTTGGCAAATTTATACCAGCACGGCGGGCACTTTCTCTGAGACTCTTCCAGCTCTGTAGTGAGTAGAGAACAAAGGTAGCCCCTCAGTCTTGGGAAGAAAACAAAAGGGTTGGACTTGTTGGGTATCACTGCTATTAACACAAAGAAGGAAGGTGGCCAGGAAGTGCTGACTTTCCTGAGGGCTTCCCTCAGTTTTCCTTCTCTTGAAGGCAGAGAGGAGGAGGCATGACCAGTGCCAGGTCACATCCCAGTTAACAAGGATCTAGTTATAAACAAAACTCAATCCACCCGTTTGGGAAGCATAGCAACCCTGGTTCAACTGGCTTCCACACTCACGAGTGTATGATCTCAGGCAAGGTACTGCGTCCTCTACGCTTCCGTTGCCTCATCTAAAAGGGCACTGACTTGCAGGCTATAGGACTAAATGAATCCTATAATCCTCCTCCATTGCTTACAGACAGCACACAGCACAGGGCCTGGCACGAGGTGAGTCCGCAATAAACGGTAGATATCTTATTACACATGGTATCATTAAACTATTTATTATCAGAGAAGCAGTCAAAAGCACACACACTGAAGCCAGACATATACGGGTGTAACCAGCTCAGGCAGCTGCTAACTGTGGGCCCTTGAGTAAATTACTTCAGTTTGCTGCGACAATTAAATGAGCTAAAACATATATAAAGTGCCTCAGGACACCCCAGCATACAGCAAGTGCTATGAAAGCACTTGCTATTGTTGTTTATTTTCTTTACAGCACAACCAGCATTGTCAACCAAGCCACCACGTGGACCGTCTGTCTTAGGTTCTCAAAGATGTATGAGTTCACAATGTGAGTTTGCAGTGCAGTCAGGAACAGAGGTTGCATTCCTTCCCCTTTGCTCCTTCCTTCCTCTTTCTCATCTCTGCTCTTCTCTCTTTCTCCTTCTCTTGCCCTTTCACCCTTTCCCACTCTCATCCTTTCTTTCTCTATCTTCTTCGTCTCCCCGTCCCTCAGTCTCTTTCTTCTTTCCTTTTTGTTTCTCTTCTTTTGTCTTCTCCTCTTCGTCTCTTTAGTCTGTCCCTCTTTTAAAAGCAGGACCCATTTTTTCAAACAAGATCTTATGTGACCCCCAATATGTAAAATAGACAAACCAGGAGCTGCTCTAGTTTAGGCAGGAAGAGGAGCTTGGAGTCCAGGGCAATCCAAGTCTTCCTTCCCTGAGGTACTACCCCAGGGTCCTAGGACTCTGATAAACCCAGACTGACAATCACTGGACTCGGATGAGCTCTAAGGTCATTTACAAAGCAAAGACTAGAAAGGACAATTAGACACTAAAGGTGGAGAGCCATTCAGCTCCAACAGTCTAGGCGTGAGGCCCTCGGTAACAAAGCTCTCCTCAAAATTGAGTATGAAATATAATAGCTAGCATCACAAAAGTCCAAGGACCTTGATGTGGAAGGATGTTCTTGAAGAGGGGTCACTTTGAAAACCCATCAGCATGATAATCCTTAGAGGCCAGGTCTTGGCTCTGTGGGGTTGGATATAGCTGCGTCCGCTACCACCCTGACCCCACTCAAATCCACTAACAAAATCAAATCATTCAGGGAACAGAAAAAAAGTTTCCCAACATTTCACGAAGAGCAAGATGGCTGCTTTAAATCAGTCTACTTCCCCTTTTTCCAACCAGCCGGTTGGTGCCCATGGTGATGGCTTTATTTTAGGTGGGGTGCTTTGGTTGGGCTTTTAATTGGCTCCCTGGTTGCTAAGAAAATGGTTGCCTTGGTTTTTCAGATTTAAGGGCCACAGTAAGCGACACGTGGGAGTCTGCGTGGGAAAGGAAGTCTGTGAAGAAAATTTGCTTTGGTTTCTTCCTCATAGAACTCCCTCCCTTCCCAAGGTAAATTTAGTCTTCTTCCCAAAAAAGAAAATTGAAAAGGTTCTCTTATTTCCATGAATTCTTATAGTACATATTTGGAAATCTGGTTCCGTTCCTTTTTTTATCTCCTCCTCTCTCCAAATGTCCGCTGTTCACCTGCACGTGGAGGTTGAAGCAGCGGACTATTCACGTTTCTAACAGTTGACAACTGTAATGTTTTACAAGGAACTAGGCTCCGAGTCCTTGCCAGACAGACAAGGGTAGGGTTTCCCTACCCTGTGGGGCACCAAAAAGGGATACTAGGTATCTAGTATCCCTCCCATTTACTGAGAGGGGAAGATCCTCAGGATACTCGTTTCCGTTTCACAAAAACGAAGACAATGCGGAGCTTTAGGAGCTAGAAGAGATCAGTTAGGTGAATAAGGAGGCTTATAAAGGGACACACAACTCTGCACACCGTTACTGGCCCTACACACCCACAACAGCAAAGTCTGGGCAAATGTGTTAACATATGGGGGTGAGATGTCCAAAAGTTTGTGAGGCTCCCCTTAGTTTGCTCCTGGACATTTTCAGAGAGAACCTTGGGGGCACTGGGAATTGTAGTCTCAACCTTGGGGGCACTCGGAATTGTAGTCTCAACCTGGGGGGCACTGGGAATTGTAGTCTCAACCTCCTCCAAGATGGTGGCCTTTGTAGACCAGGAGGTTTCTGAAGGCCAGGGCTTCTCCCAGGTCAATTCAACAACATGCTAGGCACTGGGACTGCGTTGATGAACAAGAATTGCCACCCTCACAGAGCTTATAGCCGCACCTGGAAAGGCAGACACCAGGTAAGTAATTGCACTGACACTTTTGAAACTGTTTCACCTGAGAATCAATAATGCTAAATACCATCACTGCTTCCTCCTCCTTACTTCAACTCTCTCCCCTTCTCCCATAGCTTTACCGCTTTGAGGAGAAGCAAGAGCACATTACTCTGCCGACACCCCATGCCCCGTCCTCTGAAATATCCCCAAAGCTTACGGCTCTGCTGAGTGCAAATTCTGCTGAGTTTACTGGATCCTGCTGAGCATGCTTGCGATAGGATAGGGGTGAGGCAGAGCAGGCAGGATTATCTCATTATTTGTAGGATTATCTCATTATTTACAGGATTCTGGAATTCTCCACTGTGGTTTCTAAACCATTAGATAAGAAGCCCGCTTCTTTGGATTAAAATAACGTCAGAGTTTCCTAACTGAAGGCTGAAAAGCAGAAACAAGTATTCATCCAATGTTGGCTTTCCATGTTGTAGCAATTGTTAAATACAGAGGGAACAGTGGTTAAATAGGAATGGATCTTTCTTAATGTCCTTTAATTCTCTCACATCATTCAGCGCCAGCCATTCACTGTCCTTTGATTACAGCAGTTCTGTCTCATCAGCTTTAGCGAAGGGAGTCAAATCCGACGAAGCCCTCCGAGAGGAATCCCGGAGCCCCAGTACTCCTCCCCAATTCCAAGCACAACAAGATTCAGTTCCGTACACATTTTTTGAGCATCTACTTTTGCCAGACCCTGCGCTAGGCCACCAAGGTAACCAATAAATCACTGTTGCATTGCATGGATAGCTCCCTGCTCTGATGTTTTTACCAGGAATAAAATAGGCCTGTTGGAGGTTGTTCGTCTTTCTTTCTCAACTGCTACAGATACTCAGAGAAATCTTGTCTTGGTCTCCAAGTGAAGAATAAAATTTGCTAAGGTTCTTAAGCTAATATTGATATATCTTATCTTGGAATTCTTATGATCTGCAGTTACTTACCTGTTATCTCAAAGTATAAACTATAAAGCTTAAAGATGTTCTATCAATGACCTCAATGGGAATTAAAGAAAACAGGGCAAATGAAGCTGTTCAGGAGCTGAGAAGTAGTTAGTTCAGTATTCTTTTTACGTGATACATTCTCAAGATTAGTCTAGGTTTAGTCTAACTCCTTGCCCATATGTGCAGATGTGAGTATTCCAGGGGAATTTCAGGTTCCCTTCTAGGGATTCTCCTTTCACCACAGATGCCCCTGCCCATCTCTCTCTCTCTCTCTCTCTCTCTTTCTCTCTCACACACACACACACACACACACACACACAGACTAGAAGTGGTATGTGGCTTAAATGACTCAAAAAAAAAACAAAACAAAAAAACAACTTGTTCCAAGGACACCAGAGTAATTTGAGTCTCCTTATCTCAGGGACTCTGATTATTACTGGGTTAGCCTGGGTGTGTGGATTCTGAAGAACGGCAATCAGGAACAGTACGGATCTATAATGGGACAACTCAGCTAAATCAGCATGAATCACATGAAGAAGAAGCATGCAGAATCAATCAGAATCTTGTGAGAGAAAACCTGGTCACTGAATCTACTGCCAAAGAAATCAAGAGGAGCCTGGAATACAGACCACAGTTGGACAGAAAGCAGACAGTTGCGAGGGAACTGCAGTGTAATGGGAAATCCTCAGCAAGCCAGGCTGTGTCACGGAGGAGCCACCTGCTACGGAGTTCAGGCTCTGACGGCTACGCTGCTGCAGGCACGCTATGATTCAACAGTGGCTGCCCTTCCCCCGGGCACAGAGCGCCAGCGTTAGAGGGGTTTCAGCTTACCTGTTCACTCGTGCAATATATTTATGGATATATGGGGGTGTTTAAAGCGAAGCAGAATTAGATATAATCACAATGCACGGTACACTTGTCCTTAAGGGAAAACCAAAAGATCTGTAAGTAGCTAAAAAGGAAAAGAGGAAGGTAAGTTTTGTGGTCGAGGGCAGGAGGGGGGGTTCCATCATTTTCTGTCATCACAGTTCTTTCGTCTCTGTCCCTCTCTGCCTCACGTCACCCTACTGGCTCCTCATGGTGCTGATTACAGAGACTTCTTGACGTCCTCTAGCTCGCTCTTACGTTGTTCCTTCATACTTCTTACCTATCTGTGTACAGTGCTGGCAGCGGCTTTGAAGTCCTTCCTGGATTCTCCGCATGTACATCTGAAATGCTGGTTTCTATAACCAGCAGACTCTATTCCTAAAGCTGAGACAATTTTTGCGAAACTCAGACCAAGGGACTATATTTATATTATCATGCACACTACATATTTATAGCTCAGCAGCTTGGCCCAGCATCACAAGGCACATACCTTCTACCAGTGTATTTGTAACAACGCTCAATATACTGTTGATCCTGTCCTTCCGCCCATAGGAGGCCAATTGGTCCATGGAAACTAAGAGAGATCCAGGGCCTTTCTTCTTAATTTCCACCTCGGTTGTAGCCTGAAAAAAACAGCAAGTTGGGTGAGTAAAGTCTTATCAACGTTAAGGCTGGGCCTTAGCGGATATAGTCTAGAGTGAGCGAGAACCTATGCTCTTCCTTAGATCTTTTTACTTTGATCCTACAGTCCTGTTCACCTCAAGGAGTAGAATGAAATGAGTTGGCCACGGATCATCCTTAGTTCCACAGATGACAAGACCAAGTCGTTTAAGTGTGTATAAAATCTACAGTGAACCCAAGAGTCTGGCTGGGATCCAAATACATCACCTGCTCAATGTACGCAGAGAGTAGAAAGACCAGATCCCCTGGGAAAACGCCATCAGAAGCAGACCCTCCTGTCCTCCTCTCATATCCACAGCATTTGGCTAGAATTGGACCACATGATAAAATAAGTCAAATTCACCTGTACGTGAAATTTCATGAAGGGCCAGGTCCCTGATCACACTGAGTATTACAGACAGTTTCCTTCACTTGTAGGAGCAGCATCATTCTACCAAACTGTCGCTTCCAAATGTCAAAACTGGGCCTAACTGAACGTTAGCAAGTGGAAGTTCTACTCCAGATCTCCTCCAAGCCACTGCAAACAAGAATGGTAGGTTTTGCCATCTTAATTAAACACATTGCCTCACGTGTCTTTTTACATTTATCTTGTCTTTTTACATTTTTATTTTATGAGTTAACCTGAAACTTTCAAATTCCCAACCAAATAAAAAGGGCAGAAAACACCATCAGACCGGTAAACGAAATATTTTGTACACGCTCCTCCTTGGGCGATACCAGTACGGTAGATTACGGCAAAGGGTTTCTGCGCTGTTTGTGCCAACCTGAATATTCTACATCAGATCAGGCTTAATGGGGTGGCTTAAAACCTAGCTTTCTAGTTAACCATGCTGTCCACTGTAACACGTCAACCATATAAACTTAGCTGCTCCTTCCATGTGAAGGTAAGAGGACAGAGACAGTCACCACAGGACAGGGAAGACATGTGTTTGTATGAAGCTAGAGAAGTATCTGTCTGATCAGTGACAGAAAGTTTTGAAAAGAAAATAATCATCTCTGGAGAGTTTACATCAGAAAGCCTTTCTATTCTTACATATATTTAGATTTTAAGAACTGTACTGAAGAAAGTTCCTGGCAGATTACAATTTATCCCATCATGGTGTTTTATCAAATAGTTCCACTGATTCAGAGATGTGGTTTACCTTAGGGTTTTGTTTGTTTTGTTTTATTTGTCTGGCAGAGCTACAGAAGAAATGGAAAAGAAAAAGAACTGGTTTCCTTGGGAATTCCTGGATGCATTACTATACAAGCATCTGTATTTGTAAGAATGACTTAACCATTAGCTCAGGTCATGATACAGTATATTTCTTTGAGAAATCACTTTTTGCTACAATTCCCAGCCTGATATTCATGACATTTAATAAATGAGTTAAACTACTATATTTAAAAAATGACAAGACTTCCCTGGTAGCGCAGTGGTTAAGAATCCGCCTGCCAGTGCAGGGGACACGGGTCCAAGCCCCGGTCTGGGAAGATCCCACATGCCGCGGAGCAACTAAGTCCGAGCGCCGCAACTACTGAGCCTGTGCTCTGGAGCCTGCGAGCCACAACTACTGAGCCCACGTGCCACAACTACTAAAGCCCGCGTGCCTAGAGCCTGTGCTCCACATCAAAGAGAAGCCACCGCAATGAGAAGCCTGCACACCGCAACGAAGAGTAGCCCCCGCTCATTGCAACTAGAGAAAGCCCGCGCGCAGCAACGAAGACCCAACGCAGCCAAAAATAAATTAAAATAAATAAATAAATAATTAAATTTATTTTAAAAAATGACAATCATCTAAAAATGAACACAGAAGTCCCAATACAATGGACATCCTTATTTCTGACATTTATTAATTCTAGATTTTTATTGAACTGCCCTTCCGCAAATCTACAATAGATAGATTTTATAATGCTGACCCCCGAGGTACTGGAAGATCTAATGGACTGGCTGGTTCATCAAAGAAGGATGAAACTGCACTTAATATGGCTTTGGTATTAGTGTAGCTTACTGTCTTTTGGGCATGCTGGATGTAATAAGATATAAATTCTTCAGGCTTTAATAACACCAACCTTAAAAAACAAAATTAATGAAAATTCTATCTAAAAAGACCCAGTCAAATCATTATATTATCATTTGCTGACACCTATTCAAAAGATAAAACAATTTTTAGCTTGGATAAAAAAATCCACAAAAATTAAAGAAAAATTTATCCCCAAACTTAATATTAAGATGGAACAATGACTATTTATCTCTTTCTATGTAAAATGAAAGTAAACTATAGCAGGGCTATGTGGAGACAACTTCTGAAATACTAAAATTTGTTCCATAATCCATAATGTGTTATAGAACTATAATCTATACTGTACAATTGCTTAAATTTTAAAAAAGAAACAAATAAAAGAAGATGCTGAGAAATGAACATTTCAAAGCCCATACTTAGGAAATTCTAGAAGGTAAAAAGAGAAATCCATTAATTATCTTTTTACAAAGGCAAGAGCACTTAGCATAGATCCAAATAACTGGTTCCATCAAACGTCTTGGTAATAATAAGATATCCAGAAAAATTCCCACATATTTGTAAATTCAACAACAGACTTCTAAAGATCTGTGGATCAAAGAGTTTTGCACAGGGAAATTTAAAAAATACTTTAACTGATGACAATGAAAACACAATACATCAAGATTTATGGGATGAAGCTAAAGAAATTGTTAGAGAAAATTTTACAGCTTAAAAAAGATATAAGATCAATGCTCGAAGCTTCTGCCTTGAGAAACTAGAAAAAGAGGATCAAATTAAGCCATAGGTAAGTATATGAAAGGAAATAATAAGAATGGAAATTAATGAATTAGTAAATGGACAAACAACAGACAATCAAAAAAGGTCAAATGCTGGTTCTTTAAAAAGATTAATAAAATTGATAATTCCCCAGGCAAGACTGATCAAGAAAAAAAAAATAGAGAAAACACAAATTATAATTTTCAGGAGTGAAAAAACAGGATATCACTATAAATCCTATAGACGTTATTAAGATAATAAGGATATGTTGTGAATAACTTTATGCCATTTCATCTTGGATGAAACAGACAAACATATCCAAACACAACTTATAAAAACTGACATAAGAAGAAATAGAAAATCTAAATAGCCCATATTAATTCAAGAAATTATAATAAAAAATCTTATCACAAAGAGAACTCTAGGCCCAGATGGGGCTCCATAAGTGAATTCTATCAAATGTTTATGGAAGAAATAATACTAATTTTACACAAATTCTTTCAGAAAACAGAGGTTAAGAGAATACTTCTCAACTTCTTTTATAAAGCAAACATAACCCTGATACTAAACCTGACAAGAACATTACAAGAAAAGAAAATTAGAGATCAATATCCCCCACCAACAGAGATGTGAAATCCTTAACAAAATATTAGTAAATAGAATCCAGCAATATATACAAAGGATACTACATCATGACCAACAGAGTTTATCCCAGGAAAGCAAGGTTAATTTAATACTAGGAAAAAGGTCAGTGTTATTCATCATGCTAACAGAATAAAGGAGAAAAACCATATGATCATCTCACAGATGCAGAAAAAGAACATTTAACAAAATTCAACACCTCTGCATAAAAATAAAATCCCTCAGCAAGCCACAAATACAATGTAGCAGTTTCAGTCTGACAAAGATCATCTATGAAACCTATAGCCAACATCATGCTTCTTGGTGAAACATTAAATCCTCTTCCTCTAATACTGGAAACAAGGAAGGATGTACGCTTTCATCAAGTCTATTCAATTTTGTATCTAAAGTCTTAGCTAGTGCAATAAAGCAGGAAAAATAAATGAAGAGCATAAAGATTGCAGTTGCTGTTACTCACAGAAAATATTACTGTGCATGTAGGAAACACTATGGAATTTACCCAAAAAACCCAAACAACAAAAAACCCTCCAAGGCTAATAGAACCAATACATTAATTTATCAAGGTCATGAGATATAAGGTTAATATACAAAAATCAACTGTATTTCTATATTCTGGCAACAAATAATTGAAAATAAAAATTTTAATTATACCTTTTACAATAGTATCAAAAAATATCAAATACCAAGGAAAAAAAATCTAATGAAAGATGTCTAAGACCCCCACTAAAAACTAAACAACTTTGCTGAGAGAAACTTGAGAAGACTTAAATCAATGGAGAAATGTACCACATTCATAGTTTGGAAGACTCAATATAATTAACATGTCCATTCTCCCCAAAGTGATCTATAGATTCAGCACAATCACTACCAAAATTCTGTGTTTTCTGAAAAAACATATATTTATGTATAAGTTTTTGTGTGAACACCTGTTTTCCTGGGTATATACCTATGAGTAGAATCTCTGAGTCATCTGATAACTCTATGTTTAACTTTATGAGGAGCTGCCAAACTGTTTTCCAAAGTGTCTGCACCATTTCACTTTCCAACCAGTAACGTTGGCTATTGTTTCTTGTGTCAGACTATGACCAGTTGAAGGGAAGAAAACCTGGAGCAGACTCTCTCCCATGTAAAGCAGCTTCATCGTCACCTTCCACGTAGAATCTGCTTGGGATTCTGTGAGGTATGTCTCTACTATTGGCTCAGCTGCCCAATTCTCATCACCTGGAAGGTGGGAAGGAGGTGTCCTCCTCCAAGCATGCTGAGACCCAAGGACCAGAGGAAAGATCACATACTCACTCTCTCCCCTCCCTTATTTCCTGGGGTCATCTTTTGAGGGGGCGGGAGATGAAGGTGTATATTTTTATTTGTTTCGTTTTCTTTCATTTTGTTGGGGAGGGAGGAGGAGAACTAACAACTTTTTAAAGTCAGGAGCCTCTCTGCCTTTTAAAAATTCAGCCCCTAAGGAGCCTTGGTGCAAAACTATCAGTAACAGAGGAAGCCATTGGGAACCTTAATTACTTTAAACCCAATACAAATTTGTTGCATTTCTCTTAACTCAAACACAAAGTTTATTAGGCCACTGACTTCCAACCTCCTAAATTGTAGCTGTCCTTCTCAAAGAGATATTCTACCATGTCTGCAGATGGCAGGTTCTGCCCACATTTCTATAGATCTATCCAAGGAGTCTCAACTTGTTATTGATTCTGAACTGCTTTCACAAGGAAATACATAACTGGCAACTTACCAGCCAGTCACCTTTCTTGGGACTAAAATTTAGAGCATTTTAGAAGTGGGCTTAGGACTCAGCCATTTATCTCCTGTTTCAAGCCTTTCTAAAATTTTTGCAGTATTCTGCTTTAAAATACTGTGCAATAATTTCTCCTTCTCAAAGGATCTTTGGAATCTTAGAAGAAATCCGACCCTCTCCAAGTCAAGCAATTCAGCAGAAATCCCACTGTCTACTTCTCAGGCTACAAAGGCCAAAAAAGTATAGGGAAAGGAATGGAAACTGGCTTTCTGAATACCAAGGATGGGCCAAGTAATATGCTTCACATTTTATAAATGTTATTACATTTAATCTTCAAATAGCCCTATAACAACGGTCTTTTTTATCTCTTTTTTACAGATAAGGAAATGGGCTTAGAGATGCTCATTTTTCAGGATCACTTGAGTAAATAAAGAACCCGGGCTTCGTAGTTAGCATAGCATAATGGTTAGTGGTTAATGCTGTGGAGTTTGATTGTCTGGATTCAAATCCTAACTCTACTGCTTACTGTGCAATCTTGGACAAGTTGCTTTACTTCTCTAAGCCTTGGTTTCCTCCTCGTAAAATGCACACAATAGTAGTATCTAACTCAGAGGGCAGGAGCTGTGAGCATGAAATGAGATAATGCTTTGCATTTACAACATGATTTCTGAGTTATGTGTGTTTTTGGATGGTCAGTGGCACCTGCTTCCTTTACGAGTGAAGAGCAATGATTTTCCAGCTCAGAGATGAAGACATGGGGAAAGTCCCCTTATCCTCTGCTTCAGCAAAACGCAAAAGTTCTCAAACTATCAAAAAATTATCGCCACTCAATCACAACTGAATAGTTAATGAAGATGTGAAGTAGTTTTTGAGGAGATTCTAATGAGGTGATGTCTGGATGTCTTTTTTTTCATAGGGAATATCACATTTCTTAATTTGAGCCTAAAGAAAAAAAAAAAACAGATGTGGCATAGCCCAAGCATTAATGTTGTGTGAGATCAGCTTATGGACCATCAACGGCTCCTACACCAGTCCATAAAGCATGAGTATGTAACTGGAAGCACTCTGATGGTTCAGGCGAGGACAAGTTCATCTGTAGCTGCAGACGCATCCAAAACGTTTTGACAGTGAGAATCGCTATCTTCTCGCCCAAAGAGGTATAATAATTGCTCACTTGGCCCAGGCTGCATATAACATTATGAATATATTAATTCCTTCTAAGAGAAATGACTTTTCCTACTTCCCAAATAAGCAGTCAGGAAGTTCTCTTGGCGTCAGGAAGACCTTGGTTCCATTTCCACAAGTCACTAAGTCTCTGAGTCTATCTGTTGATTGGATAAAACCACCTACTGAATGGGGAAGTTATAAGAATTAAATGAGATCATACATATAAAGTGCTTAGCATAGTGTCATCAGAACTCAGTCTATGGCAGCTATAAGTATTAGGCCCATTGTAGAAAACTAGAAAGAACAGAAGAGTGTTAAGGAAGGGAAAAAAAGTCACTAATAATTTCCCCTTCCAAAGGCAGCTACTGTTAACTTTTAGTCAGTCATCTTTTTTCTATATGCAGTTTGTCTTTATATAGATGATATCATACCACACAAACTATATGCATTCTGTTATTGTTTTGTTTTGTCTTTTTGGCCTATTAATGTAACTTAGATATTTCCCCATACCATTAACAGCTAGGAGGTGCTTCTTTATGGCTTCTAACAAAATAATTTTTCCTCGTTATGAAGCCCTTGGGAATGATACAGTCCTACCTACCTCATCTTCCTGCCACTTTGGGATCTGACCTCCTGGCCTTGGGAATCCTCAGGTCGGTCACCATCATCACTTGGGGCCACTGCAAAGCATCTCCTAAGTGCTTACAGGGTGTTGAGTGTGCAGGACCCCCAAAACCCCAAAGGCAGCGTTCTGTCAGCCACAACGTAAGGCAGCGCAGACAGCCTTACATTCCACAGCCATCTGCTCAACTGCCTCTCAAATTTATCTCCCACACAATATAACAGAAGCTGCTAAAAAAACAAAAACAAAACCCGCAAACCCGCTCAGCTGCCTTTAAGCTGAAGTTCAAGCTCCTTCTTCCTGGATACCTTTTCTAATACCTTCTCTTCAAAGAAAAAGCAAGATATATTACTTCGCTTAAATATTTTTTAAAACTGCTAGGATATCAAAATTTACTTTCGCTTTCAAAATCTGAATTATCCCCACTGTACTGTCCATGCTGATCCACCCCTCATTCTCCATTGATATCATCTCTTGTTTTATTAGAGAACATAATTATCTATCTAATTACGGAGCCAAACAATTTACATCTAGACAGAGAACCAGTGAAGATCAAAAATTTATATTTCAAGTAAAGACAGTCATTCATAACAGTTATTCTGGCCAACTACCTAGCTTGGAGGGGGGCTTTGGAGCCACCGTTTGTTGTCATTATTGTTCCTATTACGCTTGATCTGAAACAAACAGTTCTCCAGAAGAGCAATGGCCACGTGACTAGGCGGAGAAGACATGAAAATTAACTGAGAAAGAGGAGACTGAGGTTTCTGAAAGGTCTGTCAATGATGAGCTGTGTAACCCCAAGGAGTACAAACTCACTGAGCCTGTTTCCCCACCTCAAAAACAGGAATAATCAGCTCCATTTTGTCAGCCTTATGGAATTTTAATTCGAAACAAATAAAGCATGCAAAAGTAATGTGTACCTTGTAAAGAGCTACACAAACATAAGGGGGAAAACATTTTGCTTTTAAATAAAAAGTCAGGAAGAGAAAGGACAACATCAAATATCCTGTCTTCTGAATTTAGGACAGTCAACAACTGTCCTAAAGTGCTAAAAACAGATCATTCTGAATAAGTCCATCCTTGATTGTCCAATTTTCCTCCACACATGCATCATGCTAATTAAAGGGCTGGCTATCTTCATGCTGTGTTAGAGGAAACTGAAGTGTTGCAACAAAACAGACTGACATGCTATCTCAAGAAGCTGAGACCGGCTAAGGAGGGACTGAGGAAAGTTAAGGAACTAGAGGTAGAAAGGATTAGGATCACTAAGGTTATAAGAATTTAAAACTAGAAAAAAAGGTATAAACAGCTTAGAATCTAAAGAAATGTTAAGGGATGGCTTTTCCCAAAGAGGCGAGCCATTATCCTAGCCCCTAGACAAGCGATTTTGTGAAGCTATGAAACACAGCTCCTCCAGAGCTTGACATTTGATTACATTTAAAATTCATCTTTCACTTCCCTTTTCCTTCCTCCCCCATATACCATGTGTTCTTGCCCTGACCACCTACCTTCCCCTCCTTCGATTTATTTACATCTCAATCCCTTTCAAATGTCTAGGTCCAGTTCCCCACTGGTTTCCTTAACCTCTCCTTGCCTGGCTCTCCCAGTGCCTACTTCCTACCCTCAGCCTCACCCATGCACATTCCTCTTTGGAAAAAGAGGAAAAATCACATCTCACTCTTGTAGAGGAGACTAAGAAAATTATTCAAAGCTATGTTACTTTTTTTTTTTTTAAATAGGAAGACAAGAGCTTTAAATTCCAAGTTGTTTCCCTAAGAGGAGGGAGGACGTAGGGGGAGAGAAGCAATGATAGTTCCAAACCCGCTCAGACTTGGTCATTGGTGACAGCAGAGGCCCTTCTCATTCCATCCGGGCAGGATCCTCTGGCCAGAGGCATTCAGTCAAAGCAGGTGTGGGGAGGAAAAGAGATAAGCAGGCAGAGACGTGCAGAGATGGAGAGAGAGAAAAAGGGATAAAATAAAGGAAAGAGTTGATGGGGAAAGGGCCAGAGTCAGAAACAAGAAAGGAAGATGGGGGAAAATGGAGCAAGGAATAAATTAAAAGGGAAAACAGGGCGAGTAAAAGAGGAGGGCTGAAGAGAGAAATAAGAACAAACCAGGAGGGAGAAAACAGAAGTGGTGGGGGGCCGAGACACGAGTTGGGATGGAGCGTGGAAGAGAGGCCGGGTGGAATGGACAGAGCAGGGAGAGGAGAGAGGAAGGGAGTGGGAGAGAAGGCCATGCCTAGCCTCGGTCCACTTTTTTACTTCCTTACACTGTCATCAGTGGCTGCCTTATCTATTGTCACCTCTGGCAGGAGACGCCCGCTGATGTGGGAGCCGGGGCCGCCGATGAGGGACACCACACCGTTGCAGTCCACCGTGCTGTTGCGCTTGACGCTGCGCCGCAGGCTGGGGAATATGCGCGAGGAGCGGCTGCCCTGGCTGTAGCCGCTGTAGCCGCTGTAGCTGCTGCGGCGCTCGCGGGCTCGGATGGGGATGAAGAGCGAGTCCCGGCGGCCCTCGCTCTCCTCCACCGTGCTGTGCTCGTCGTCCGCAAACTCGTTCTCGGAGCCCGGGTCCCGGAACCGCCCGGGCCCCCTGAAGCTGAAGATGCTGCTTTTGCTGTTGTGGCGGGACAGGAATGGGGAGCCCGGAATGCTGAGCAGTGACTGTAGGGGCAGGAAGAGAGAGAGACAGAGAGGGAGGCATGAGACAGGAAGGGGACCCCGTAGAGGCTGAACAAAGGCTGTCAGCTTCCCCAGCCTGGCCCCATCCTTGCATTCCTGTTCATCAGAACACAGGTGTTTCCAGAAAGCACTTCTGGACGTTGAATTTCTACTGCTTTTAACACCCATCATTGCTCGCTTCTCCTTGCCCCATAACCTTGCGATACACCTGTCTTTGACCTGTTAACTATTAACAAGTTCTATTCACTGTTCACCCATGTATTGAAAGGATGCTTTTATCTCATGCTCTGTGTATCGAATCCACCAGGAAATACATTCAGTGTCTACTTCTCATTACTATGAGCTCACCTGGAGTGTGCCTTTAATCTACCAAGTTAGATTCTATGCCACACTTGGCAAAAGGAGAGAATTTAAAAGTGCCCAGTCACTTGCCACTCTCTCAATGGGTACCACATGCCCTAGAGGCTAAGAACTATGCCAATAGTTTTTTAGTTCAGTTGAAAATGGTATGTCCCCTCCTCCTCCACTTTAAAGTCAACGTTTCTTTCATGAGAAGTTTAAGTATTTGTAAATTATATAATTCCCAGCATTGACATTTTAAAGTCAAACTTGTATTTATCACTTAGAAATTTTTCATCTTTTTCTCCTTCAGCTCATACTTCCATTCCACCTGCCCTAGAGAATTTTATGCTAATGTATATCTTTATGCTTTAATGCATTTTACTGATCACCTTTCAATACTTTTCTGCAACAAAAAATTATAAACTGTACTTAAAATTAAAAAAAAATTTTCCTGTGACCATGAGTCTCCAAGAAATTTAAAAAATTCTCCTGGATTGCGTTTTTATTACAATTCTCATTAATACAATTGATCAGAAATATATTCTACATTTTATAAGTAATTACTAAGCTTAAAAAGAAAATTTTATTAAAATATATCTCAATGAGATGAATTTTTTTTTCCAATTGGTGTTTTGGTGTTTAAATATTTGTAGATAGTATTATTTATTATTAGAATCAAACATGGCTCAACAGCAACCCCTCTCTCCCTTCTAATATTATTTAGATTTTAAGTGCTGAGAAACCTTATTCATGTAAATGGTACCTTGGAACAGAAGAATATTGTTATAAACAGTAATGTCACTCAATTCTTTGAACTCCTTCTAAGTCATATACCAAAATTGTATAGAAAGCTATCAGCAAAATTTATCTTAATGATCTATCAGCTGACAATTAAATCAAGTCCTCTTTCAATTGTGTTGAAAGCAAAGAACTGAAAACCACCCAACTTGCCAAAGGACTTGTACCCAGTTGATAGAAGTATTCCATTTCCTGATTCCTGAGGATATCAAAAAGGCCTTATTTATTATTAACTAATAATTATATCGGTACCTCTTACAGGGGGTTATTCTTTTACTTTAAAGGAACCATATTTAACCCAACAGAAAAGGTTGGAATAACCAAAATATTGTCAATTTCTATACATCACTGCCAACATTAATTTTTTAATAAAATGATGTTATCACATGCTTTAAAGATATTTTCATCAAAACCTTAAAGCCACAGGCTTAGCTCATTTAATTTACAAAAATGCCCACCATATGATCTAATTAGCAAAGCCAGTCCCCAATGTCAAAGCAATTGGCCAAATCAGACTTATTTTCATTGGAAAAAGTATGACTTCATTTTTAATTTTTAATAAATGTATTAATATGTATCCCAGTGACATCCATCTTGCTCCTGAACTTAAAACATCCCATTGCCCCTGATTATAACTCTATATTTCACTCTTATTAGAAGTATATAAGAGATAGGTAAATTCAGAAAGCCTTACAATGGGTTTGTTTCCTAGATTAAAGAAAACTTTTTAGACCCTAATATTTTCAACTGTCCCTTTGTTTCGCACCTCCAAAGATTTTTATATCTTAGGGCAATACACCACTTAGGATTTGGGATGAGAGAGAGGTATGCCTTCCTTTTGTAAAGTGGGAGAAGGCTGACTGTGAAAAGAAAAGTGGAAAAGAACTGGTGTGACTTTGGACAACAGGCCTCACCCTAGGCATAGGAAAATGTAACTTAAAGATCTGGAAATCAGGTTCCTTAAAACCGTGCTTAGAAAGTCTTCAAGTACCCTGAGGGGATGCAATCCCAGTTTGAGGACCTCTGCTCTAGGAGAACAAAACCTGACAGACAACTGACCTCAGACAATCCTCCTTGCTACCCTGAGATACTCAGTTTGCCCAATCATGGCTTTGAAGGAATTTCAAAGTAACTTTTAGCTATATAAGATTTTTGCCTTAGAGTTTAGGCCTTACCCTTCTGGTAAAATGATTCCACTGTGAAAGTTCTTTGTGGGCTAGGACTCTGCCAATATAGTATACATATTAAAAGTGCTAAATAAACATTTTAAAATAATACTTTTGATGATAACCCTGGAATGGCTGTAGGGCTCCTCTTTAATATTTCTGCCCGTATCTTTTTTTTACCTAGAACTCCACTTCTAGTTCTAGACTCAAAATGATCCCAGTTCCATTCTCTTCCTGTAATGTACAAAGCCCCCATGCCCAGGTGGGTACATTTTTTTTGGATATTTCTAGTTTTATCATACTTCACTCTCTAACCTGTATTTCCCTTGTTATGTAGTCTCTTCTTGCCTTGGTTTGAAGCAACTCACAAATCTCTGAGATAATAAATGAATTTGATTACTGGAAACTGCATCAAGAAAACCACTTATCACAGATCATTTTACACAAATGTTACTGTTAAATACATACTATATGCCGTATGTAGGCCTCTAAAAAATAGGATTCAGGTATGCAGCATCTCTGACCCCTTTCCTGATCACTCTGACTTGTTCTGCTCTTCTGCCTCATTCCTGCACCAGAGAGGAGGAGCTGCATGGGTTAGATTCTAGAATGTTCACTGGGTCTCATTTATGAGTGGAGGGTGTCACTGTGTATTAAAAGGGTACATACATGGCCATGTTCCTTCTCCATGCTGTTGAGCTGATAGAGGGGTCAGCGCCTCCTCCAGCTTATTGTTTGCTATTCCTCATTTCACATATATGTTTGGGCACCCTCACTGATTCATTCCCCTGAACCATTCACAGATCAATTCTAGTATGTAATCTGCTACTGGTTTGCAATGAGACAGTAAAAACCTGAGAGAAGCATTTAGAAATTTTAATAGCAAGTAGGCATTTTTACAACATCCAAGAATGTGATAATTTTTCTAGAAGTTTATTGCAATTATATTTTACAAGAGTATCGTTCATGAAGAAATGGGAAAGACAAAAACTGGTCCTTCGCTACAGATAGTTTGAGAAACACTTCTCTAAACAATGTGGCTGGCCAGAAGATTTGTTAAGTGTTAGAACGTACCTATGAGTTTTGGTTCCTTTCTTTCTTTTTTTTTTAAATATTTATTTATTTAGGCTGTGCCGGGTCTTAGTTGCAGCATGCGGGATCTGGTTCCCTGATCAGGGATCGAACCCAGGGCCCCTGCCTTGGGAGCATGGAGTCTCACCCACTGGACCACCAGGGAAGTCCCACCTATGATTTTGTTTTAATCAGGTATGGTAAGGTGACAGACACAGAGATAACTGCCTTTGAAAGAAGAGTTTATTACTTACAGTTCCCAAAATAAGGGGGCATGGCATGCTGCACCATGTCATGCCAGGCCACACAGGGCCTCACGGGGGGGGGGGGGGGGGGGGGGGGGGGGGGGGGGGGGTACGAGGGTCAGTCAGGAGGCAGGAGGAGCGAGGGGAAAAGCCCGGCCCAGAGCCTTTGCTGTGGAAGGGATGGGTGAGGCAGAGTATTACTACCGTGTGGGGCTTCTAAGCAAGTCTTGGCAGTCAGCCACGGACTCTAGGAATCCACAGTTCTTTTCAAATGGGGAAATTAGAGGAAGTGAACATTTTCATGCAAAGCAGGACATCTCAGAAGCCCAGCTTTATTTCTGAGCTGGGGAGCAATCAGTGCAACTGTGTGCTGAAGCCTATGGATTAATCAGAGCCCACTCAATAGCAAAGTGTTAATGGTACTAGGGTATTCATTGCCTAGCTCAGGACGGCTCTCAAGACAAGGGCTGGATTACAACAAAGCTACAGTCACAGTTTTCCCCCAAAAGAGACTGAACTAGGAGAAAGGTGAGATGAAGGTGAGACAGAGATGGTTCCAGGCCATAAAGGAGTCCCAGAAGGGGTTAAATCAGACTTATAAAAGTTCTTCATTCATTTTTCCAACAAATACCTGAATGGGCATAGAAGCAGACCTTGGCTTTAGGATTTTATCTGAGAGGGGAGAGGATATGACCATTAGTAAATATAAAACCACATACAGTAAAAAGCAACATGCAAAGAGGTACGTATAAACATAATGGAAAGATGAAATGATAATTTCCAATTGGGGGTGGGATGGAGGAGGGTCAGGGAAGGTTTCTTGAGAAAAGGATGTGAAGAATAAATACAACGTGGACAATTCAGAAATGGAAAAAACAGGGCATCTTAGAGAGGCTGTTTCTGGAGCAAAACAGAGGGTAGAAAAGAAGCATCGTGTATGAGAAGCATCTAGTAGTTCACTGTGGTGTAAGTATAGGGTGCTTGAAGGGGCACAGGGACTGGAGACTGAAGAGGGAGTCTGCATCGGGGAGGGGGAGTGCTATGAATTCCACCCCAAAGGGGAGTTCCCTCTCCCATTCTTCTTAGTAACTACTCTAAACTGTCACTATTGTCTTCAAGCTCCCGAATCAACCTCTCAAACCCTTCGATAAGATTTTTAATTTCCTACATTATTAAAAACTAGAGACTGACAGGTGCCATCTTTCTCTACTTCCTACTCCCCATCTACAAACTTATCCACATACACCCACCTCTCTTGTGCTGGCGTCTTTGGGGGGGACAAGGTACCCCCTTTCCTGTTAGAGGCTACACCTATTTTCACATCTCCCAAGACTGTGTTCTACTTTCTTTTCTGTTCTACTCCATTTTTACTTCCAACCCTCCTTCTTCTGGGTTTCCTCTCCAACAGATTATAAAATTGCTTATTTTTGGGCTTCCCTGGTGGCACAGTGGTTGACAGTCCGCCTGCCGATGCAGGGAACATGGGTTCGTGCCTCGGTCCGGGAAGATCGCACATGCCGCGGAGCGGCTGCGCCCGTGAGCCATGGCCGCTGAGCCTGCGCATCCGGAGCCTGTGCTCCGCAACTGGAGAGGCCACAACAGCGAGAGGCCCGTGTACCGCAAAATAAAAAAAAAAAAGCTTATTTTCACCCACATTCTTTTTTTTTCTTTTAAGATGTTGGGGGTAGGAGTTGTTTATTAATTAATTAATTAATTTTTGCTGTGTTTGGTCTTCGTTCCTGTGCGAGGGCTTTCTCTAGTTGTGGCAAGCGGGGGCCACTCTTCATCGCGGTGCGCGGGCCTTTCACTATTGCGGCCTCTCTTGTTGTGGAGCACAGGCTCCAGACGCGTAGGCTCAGTAGTTGTGGCTCACGGTCCTAGTTGCTCCGCGGCATGTGGGATCCTCCCAGACCAGGGCTCGAACCCGTGTCCCCTGCATTGGCAGGCAGATTCTCAACCACTGCACCACCAGGGAAGCCCCCACCCACATTCTTTAAAGAAGTTTGAATGAGAAGTCTTTACTTCCCACTCAACATGGCATCCACCCTTACCCTGGACTGAAATGTAACTTTCAAGTTCTCAATGACTTCTACTGCCGAATCCAACAGACATTTCCAGTTCTGATCTCATCAAGCATCTCTGTTAAGTTTCAATCCATTGATCACTCCACTGCCTTCTCCCACCCTTGTGCTCTCCAGCCCTCACTGCACTGTCGGTTCTCTTAGCACCTCTAACGACCGTTCACTTGTCTTCCTCCATGAGCTCCATCTCTGATGGCCGTGAACATCAGTGGCCCACTGTTCTTCCACCTGACACACCTCTCCAAGTCATCTCATCCAGTCTCATGGTTTTAATCCCCACCTCTTCCCTGAGCTATCATTTGACTATCCATGTGTCTACTTGGTTTCCCAACAAACAATTCAAACTTGGGATGTCTAAACTGGAACATACTTTTCTTCCAAACCTGGAATGTCCTTTCTTCCGTCTTACTGCTCCCTCACCAACACACATGTACATTACTTGACTAACTCCTGTTTATCCTTCATTGATCTTCCCCAGAAAATCTTTGCTGAACCTCCAGGTTGGGATAGATCGGTGCCCTCCAAAACACCCCAGTGTATCTCAATTATGGAATAATATCATCAGTGTTATTACACAAATAATTTTTTTAATGTATCTGGTTGCCCCATTACACTGTAAGCTCCCTAGGGCAGGGATGGTGTTCTAACCACCTTTTAATCTCTAGGACCTAGCACAATCCTTTCTTTTTCTTTTTTTTTTTTTTATGCGGGCCTCTCACTGTTGTGGCCTCTCCCGTTGCGGAGCACAGGCTCCGGACGCGCAGGCTCAGCGGCCATGGCTCACGGGCGCAGCCACTCCGCGGCATGTGGGATCTTCCCGGACCGGGGCACGAACCCGTGTCCTCTGCATCGGCAGGCGGACTCTCAACCACTGCGCCACCAGAGAAGCCCCCTAGCACAATCCTTGACATACAGTAGGCACTCCATAAATGCTTGGTGACAAATAATGAGAGATATGTTTTAGGAAGTGATCTGCTGACAATATATAAAACATAAAGGAGAGAGAGACAGACAAGAGTGAATGAAGCTGCAATGGATAACTGCAGTAGAACAAAGTAACACAAAGTCTGAACTAAAACAGGATTAATACGAATAAAAAGAAGGGGATGGACATGAGAGATTCTGCTGTGATAAAATGAACTGGACTAGCAAAAGACTGAACTGGGAGGTGAGAGATGTAAGGGAGAGGCACAATCAATCATCTCTGGGAAACAAGAAAAGACACTGAATACACTGCCATAACCAGGAACTGTAATCTATTCTATACCTTACAAAACTTTCTTTGAAAGGGGGAATTAGGGTTTCCCTGGTGGCGCAGTGGTTAAGAATTAGCCTGCCAACGCAGGGGACACGGGTTCAAGCCCTGGTCTCGGAAGACCACACATGCCGCAGAGCAACTAAGCCCGTGCACCACAACTACTGAACCTGCGCTCTAGAGCCCGTGTGCCAAAACTCCTGAAGCCCGCGTGCCTAGAGCCTGTGCTCCGCAACAAAAGAAGCCACCGCAATGAGAAGCCTATGCACCGCAACAAAGAGTAACCCCCCCTCACCGAAACGAGAGAAAACCTGCATGCAACGACGAAGACCCAATGCAGCCAAAAACAAATTAAAAAAAAAAATTGGGGAATTAAATGGCTTAAGAATTGGATTTTGGTGGTGTTCTCTGGAATCCAAAAATACCTATTACGTGATGAAATTTATAGTCATACAATGCTCAGTAATAATCCGTAAGTCCTCTCTCCCTTCTCGTTTAGTTTCCCAATTTATCAAAGTTGGGTAAAACTGGAGGCTTTTAATATATCATAGGCTAATTTATCAGCATGACACTATACAGCTAGAATAATTAATTACTAGAACTTGTTACACTCAAATAAGGTGACCTAAAGAGTTCCATGACTTTTTTTTTTTAACCTAAAATTACATGAAACTCTTAAAAAGAGGTATTTGATCTAAATTCTGAAGTTCAGATGCTAAGAGGAGAAAAGTTCTTCATGACATTTTAGAACATAAGGCTTGCTGGTTGTGACACAGACTTTACTGCTATGGTAAGTTTGCCAAAGGTGACCAGGTTGTCCTAGGGCTAGCTTTAGAGCAGAGAAGGGAGGGCAGGATTAGAGCACAGGGCAGCCCTAATATGCGAGTAACACTTCCTCCTAAAGGAAAACAGCGTGTAGGTATGGAGAAAAAGGCCTGAGAATGCAGGGATGGGTGTGGAAAACGTAAACCAAAGGGGAACATGAGAATCAAGTGAGATTAGGAAAACCAAAATTTCTTCGGCTTATTTGACCCAGCGCAAAGAGTTTACCTGATTCATGATGGAAAATTTCCTCCCAATTCTGTTGTCTGGTAGCCGAAAGCCCTTCCTCCTCATACCATCTTCTGACTCTGACTTGAACACCTTCTCGGGATCCCCTTTCTCTTCTCCTTCAGAGAGCTCCTTTTGTTTCCTCTTCTTTCTCCTGTTACGTCTCTCTTTGGCACTCTTGGAACTGAGCTTAGAGATTTCAGATGAGCTTCGGGGAGAGCCTGCCCCTTCTTCACCTTCTTCCTCTATGGCATCTTCTGAGACAGTTCCTGCTGAAGTGGCCATCGCCGCCGCCTACGAAAGGAGCCACAGCAACAGGGCAGATCAGAAGCAATGAACTGGAGCCACCCAAAGCCAAGCAATTAGTACAGATCACTTCCTTTCCCACAGATAGGAGAAAAAGGGAAAAAAGGAGGAAGGAAAACCAGCCCGTCAGAGGAGACTGTGGCTGGGGCCTGGTATCCCTTTTTCCTAGCTGAATTTGTATCGTGGCACACGGCCTTGCATAATCAGAGCAGAACGGCATGGTGAGAACTCTGGGGTTTATTCTCTTGAGTATCTCAGACAAGAACGTGGCTGCCACCTTCGTACCAAATGATCCTTTTTCTGGACAACTCTGAAAATCAATGCTAAGAAACTATACTATACATTATGGGCCCAACAATGTAAAAATCCATGTATATTTGGATAAAGATGAAAAAGTAAAGTGTTAGGGTGTTGGTGGAATCACAAGTTTGTTTTTCAAATTTTACTTTCATATTTTACCTGTATCTTCTTTTCAAGACTTGCTATGACCACAGAGAATCTCTGAAGGAGACCCTAATGTTTTTCTCAACAAGAAGGCTATGCTTATATGAAGCATTATATAGACTGCTCTGGCCACTTTCTTTTCTCCCCAGCCAGCACAGCAGTTGTACACTGAACAGTTGAGAAATTCAACAAAAGATCATATTCACAAATAATTTGGCCATTAAGACAAATGGAATAATTGGACTGACCATCTGCAGTTGTTACTTGGGTTATTTTAATCAGATCAGTGACTTCTATTTGACAGGGACTGATGCCTAAAAAGATCAATTGGAATGGCAGTCAGGTGGGGCCTTAGTCACCGTGATCTGGCAGGAAGGACCATAGCAAAGAATTGGTCACCAACCTGTGCCTCTTCCTGTTGCTTCTTAAGTTGCTCCAACATTGCTTTGAATTCAGCCTCTTTCTGCTCTGCTTCCTCCAGCGTTGCCTGATTCTGTTCTTCGTAAGCCATGGCCACCACAGCCAAGATCAAGTTCACCAGATAGAAAGAACCCACAAAGATGACCAAGACGAAGAAGATCATGTACGTTTTCCCAGCTGCTCTTAAGGTCTGTAAAGACAAAGAGACAAAGAACACTTTCTGAGTCGCTTGCATCAAACGAATCAGGCTGAAAACAACTCATGGGCTGGTGTTCCTCTGCAGGGGCACTACTGCATTTTTACACTTTTTTTTTTTTGCAGCATGTGGGATCTTCCCGGACCGGGGCACGAACCTGTGTCCCCTGCATCGGCAGGCGGACTCTCAACCACTGCGCCACCAGGGAAGCCCCCACTACTGCATTTTGAACAGGACAGTACTTCACTGTGTGGTGCTTCTTCACGCTGCAGAACACTTAGCATCCCCAACGGCCAAATGGCCTCCCCTACCCTCAACTCACAGTAAATGTTGGTAGTATGTCCCATTCATTATGACAAAAAAGTCCTCTTCCACTTCCAAATACTCTTAATATACTCCTTTTGTAGGAAAATGCTTAATTTTTTTTTTAAAGGAAAAATCGCTCTGGGCTAAGAATTACATTTGACTTTGTCAGCTCGTTCTAAAACAAGTCTGAAGAAATGAATACAAGACCTCAGCTCATTTATCTACTGGTCCTCAAAGAGCATTAACAGACAAATTCCATCTCTGGGATCAGGTCCAAGTCATAGGAAGTCCCTATCTTGAGGGACATCCTTCCTTAGCCTGTTGCAATAGGATGAGTTTTTTGCGTGTGTGCGTGGTACACGGACCTCTCACTGTTGTGGCCTCTCCCGTTGCGGAGCACAAGCTCCGGACACGCAGGCTCAGCAGCCATGGCTCACGGGCCCAGCCGCTCCACGGCATGTGGGATCTTCCCGGCCCAGAGCGCGAACCCATGTCCCCTGCATCGGCAGGCGGACTCTCAACCACTGCGCCACCAGGGAAGCCCCGTAAGATGAATTTTTAAAGAGGGGTATGACATAAAGGATAGTGGAAGGAAAAGAAAACAGGAAGGAGGATCCCAAGAGTACTCCTTGGGGAATACTCAAGGAATACTGAGTATTCCTTGAGCAAGCACATAGACATCAAAGAACAATTGTGTTTTAGGTTATGTACACGGGACCCACTATTACTTAGTTTGCATTTTTGTTCTTCTCAACCACAAATTGAAACTTAGCATAAGTCACAAATATTTCATGGGAAAGATTCAATCCTGAGGGAATACTAGGTTGTACAACAGAAAGGAAGAGTTCTAGGAGATACGAATAAGAAACTTCCCTTAAAGAGCTTCCTTCATGCCTGAGGGGAACACATTTCTTATCCTCAAACTAATTTGCATTACCAAATGCTAGAGTCAAATGGAAAACAATGGATCATCAGAGAATCTCTAAACTGGAAGACCCTCAGCAGTCACCTAGACTAACTTCTCCACCGCAACCAGCAAAATTAAACGACTTGCCCAGAGTCACCAAAGCAGCCCAACAGAATAGTAGTGACCTTTAAAAAAAAATCTGTCACAACATTCTTGAACAAATACAAATGTGTTACAAATTTCAAAACATGGACAAGATCTTATCCAAGATCCCTGTGGATAAAATCTCATCTTTATAATGTCTAGCATAGTGCCTTGTACAATGTGTTTAATATTTCTTAAAAAGATGCCATAAGCCCAAAAATCCAAAAGGAGAAATACTGAAGATGGTCTGGTGAAATGATAGGAAGTAGGTAGACAATGCAGATTCCCCGGCCAGGCAAGAGGCTCTCAAGTCTGTGAACCTCTACAGCTACACAAGATGAGCATTAAAGGACCGGGCCAAGAGCTGGGAGAATTCACTTACTTTTGTAAACCAGCTGACTCTGAGAAATACCATCCTAAGATCCTATAAAACGTCTTCACCAAAGGTCTCTCACACAGAATGTCCCCAACCCCACATATCCTCATGCAAATTCTATCACCAAAGAAAAAGAGGTAGCACTTGAAAAAGAGGTATTACTTACTAATTGATACAAGTTCTCCCAGTAGTCCTGGGTCATAAGGCGAAACAATGCCAAGAAGGCCCAGCTAAAAGTGTCAAAGCTTGTGTAACCATAGTTGGGGTTCCTTCCTGCTTTCATACACTGGTATCCCTCTGGGCATTGCCTGAGGAAAGAAAGGGAAACAAACGGCTTTTCAGTGTAATCCTACCCAGTCATCAGCTGTAAGGCATCTCTATGACCTTGGAGATAATAAATATATAGATGGTTATTTATTACAGGCCAACAAACAGGAATTAAAAAAAAGAAAAAGAGGAAAGAAACAAAGTAGCAAGGTCAATTTTTCAAAAAATGATGTCATGGGGACAGTCAAGGATCAGAATCACCTGAAAAATGTTGATTCCTATGACCTACCCAAGACCTAGGAATAAAAGCTCTGGACATGGGATCCAGGAATCTGTATTCTTAAGGGGCGTGTCAGATGATTCTTATGCATGCCAAAATTTGAGAATCACTGTCCTAGATTCATATCAATGTGCAATTCAACCCAATTTAACTTAGCTGCTATCCGAAATGACAAATGGCTAGAAGTTCCTCTTAATCATCTCGATTCTCTTCACACCCACTGTGACATCCATGTCATACTGGGGATTTCAGTGACCTTGATTATAACAGTTCTGCTTTAAGACTCGCCTGATATTTATTTCAGCGTAATTTCTAGTATCTACTTCAATACAGAAATTAAATGAACTTCTAGTCGTCATGTCATCTTAAAACACCAACTCCTGTATTTACCAATATACTCTAAATAATGACACTACACTCTACATTTATATAGCCCTCTGTTTACAAAGCACTTTCACATATGTTATGTAATTGGATCCTTACATAACCCTTTGAGAAAGTGAGAACATGATTAAATCCGTTTTTAGATGAAGAAACTGAGGCTCACATAAGTTAAATGGCTTGCCAAAAGTCTAGAAGTAGCAGAATCAGGACTAAACTTTGTTGCTGTACACTCATGTTCATAGCAGCATTATTCACAAGAGCTAAAATGTGGAAACAACCCAAGTGTCTACTGACAGATGAATGGATAAACAAAATGTGATATATACATACAATGGAATATTATTCAGCCTTAAAAAGGAAGGAAATTCTGACATATATATACTATAACATGATGAACCCTGAGGACATTATGCTAAGTGAAATAAGCCAGTTGCAGAAAGACAATTACTGTATGATTCTACTTAAGTAAGGTACTTACACTGGTCAAAATCATAGAGACAGAAAGTAGAATGGTGGTCACCAGGGGCTGAGTGGAGGGGAGAATGGGGAGTTATTGGGTACAGAGTTTCAGTGTAGGAAGATGAAGAGTTCTGGAGATGCATGGTGGTGATGGTCGCATAACAACATCAGCATACTTAATACCACTGAACTGTACATGTAGAAATGGTTAAGAGACCAAATTTTATGTTACGTGTATTTTGCCACAGTATAAAAAGGGGAAAAGATATTACATTGCAACTCTTTCCCCTCCCCCATGTTGTCTGGCCCGGCATATTCTGGGTCAACCTTGGGTGCTAACCTATCATGAAGATGGTGTCCTTATTCGATATTTTATTAATTGCGTTAGGATAGAATGAGGAGAGTCTTCAAGAGACAGGCAAGATATCTGATGTTATAGATTCTGTCTTTAGCCTTTTACATCTTTAATTTTGGCTTGAGACTATGGACACCTTCACCTACTAGTGAAATGTCAACTTTGGACGGACAAATATAAGACAGAAAGAAAATCTGAGTCACCCAATACGTCGGGCCCACTAAGGATCTGAGCACAAAGAAAGAGAACGTATTGTCCATTTTTGTCTGACAAATTATTTTAAGGGAGGAGAATAAAATTAGGTGAGCTACTTACCCAGCATCAGAACTGTTCCCACAGAGCAAAGGTTCCAGCATGCCAGGAACTGTGTAAAAATTTGCTAGAAAAGTTTGAAGAGGCAGGAAATGAATAAGGCAGATTTCAGTGAATGAGAGAATAAACAGTTATTGATTTTAGCTCATATAAATCTTTTCTGACAGCAGTGAAACCTGATAAGAATTCTCTCCCATTAACTATTTTCCTATATATATTTAACAATGAAAAGTGCTGCTGTGTAGCCTTTAGTGCAATGTTCTTTTCACAGACACCTGACTTCTACTCGTACTTCAGATCTGTATGCCACGTTCTAGCACTTGAATCAAAGGGTTTTTACACCACTCTACTCTTCTATCCTTATAACTTCTCTCTACCAAAGATAAACTGATTGCTAGTTACCATGCCCCACTTTAAATCAGAAGGCACGTTTGCCTTTCGCGTCCCTGAAATCCCCTTTGCAACACTTTCTTGTAGATACTAACTGCCTTTATTCCTCAGGAGTGACTAACAGTGAGACTGCTAACTTTCCCCCATTGTTTTACAGAAGTACTACTATACCAAATATTCTAAGGGCAAGACCCAAGCGCCTTGATTCCTGAAATGAACTTGTTAAAACTCCTTAACTGTAATAGGATCAAATGATTACTTAGAGATTACTTGACTCCCTAAGACCAGATTGATTCCTAAGGTCTAAGTAGCATTCAGAAACCTTACTAGGTATATACTCTATAAACTAAATGTTTACATATCTCAGGGAAAAGAGGATTTTTATCAAGGTTCTAAGCCTGATTTTCAAAGCAAAAGTTTAGGGGTACATGTGAAAAAGATCTAAAGTTTCATTTTTGCTTTTAAAGGGAGAGAAAAGAGAGAGAGGGAGAGGGGGCTGATATCTGAGAGCTTCTGAACATAATCCGACCTCAAGGGAAGGGAGTAAGTTCACAAGGCTCCTTCCAGCGGTCCTGGCCTTCCTTTCTGGAAGACTTTTTCTTCCCCACTTGCAGAGATGGGGCCACCTACTTTTATTGTTGATGTACTCTTCCCAGTCAAAGCCCTTGGTGCCATTTTCAAGATAGCTCTCGTTGAAGTTTATGGGCCACACCACACACTTGTTTCGCAGGTTTCCCATGAAGAGCTGCAGTCCGATCAAGGCAAAGACACTCAGGCAGAACACTGTCAGGATCATCACATCCGACAGCTTCTTCACGGACTGAATCAGGGCGCCCACGATGGTCTTCAGGCCTGAGGGGAGAGAACCCCCAGAGTCAGAGTCATCCCACAGCCCTCCCCACCTCCCCCAGCCTCCCCGCTCCGCCACGGCTCTTAGTCTGCCCCACAGGGCCGCCCATGATGCACGGCCACTTCACCATTTACACCATGGGAATAACAGTGGGGCGGCGGTATTATCAGTTCTTCCAGGGGCATCAATTTTTAAGTCAATATTTTTTGAAAAAGAAAGTCCCTTCTCCAGCATGTGGCTCTTTTCTTCCTGGAAGCACTTCCCTGTCTCTGACTGCTTCTCAGCGACTCAGATGAGTCAAGGTCTTACTTGCCTCAGTGTTGCCACACATGCTGTTCCCTCTGCCTGGAATGCTTCCTTCCCTTCTCTTGTCCCTCCTGCCTGTTTCCTATTCATCCTCCACTCTGGCTTAAAGAGCAATTCCCCCAGAAAGCCTTCCCTGACTTTATGACTCTTCTCCCTCCCCTACTATTACTATTTTAATAGCACCTTTTACTTCCTCTGTAGTATTTATCATGGTTATAGTTAATTATGTCTGCCTTGTTCACAGGTGTATCTGCATGGCTTAGCCCACAAGGTACTCAGTAAATATTAGCTGAATAAACAAATAGAAAATCAGGAATTGAGGAGGCTTCCAGTTTGGAAAGAGAACTACAGGTAAGTTTAAAAGCCAATAATAGGTGAGAAGGTACAATAATATTTTCCCAAGAGCTCTGGAAATGCCAATGTATTGAAAAGGTTAATCAGTATCAATCTAGTATTTGTGGTTTCTATTTCCACTAAAAAATATACCTTCTCTGCATCACATATACTATATCTTTTCTCTGTCCTAGATTAAAAACTTGAAAAAGTTTAAAATAACATATAACCCACTTGAATTGGCGGTTTAAATGCAAGCCACTGGTTCAAATTTGAATCTGCAGGCAGATTTCTTAACTGCACAGGGAGAGATCAGTGATAGGAGGCAAAGGAAAGTATGGTTGTGGGCTCGTGATGTTTGGATCAAGACTGAGTCTACATGTGGTTCTCCTGGACATATGCTCACACATCAGCTAACCATAAACCATAAGACATGGCCAAGAAAGCACTGAGCACTCCCGGGGTGCCAAAACACCAGGACGGACAGCAGGCAGACACAGAGCCTTGACACACAGGCCTCAAGAGGGATCTTATCCCTAATGTACTTCTTTTGTTTTGTTTTGTTTTTGCGGTACGCGGGCCTCTCACTGCTGTGGCCTCTCTGGTTGCGGAGCACAGGCTCCGGACGCGCAGGCTCCGCGGCCATGGCTCACGGGCCCAGCCGCTCCGCGGCATGTGGGATCTTCCTGGACCGGGGCACGAACCCGCGTCCCCTGCATCGGCAGGCGGACTCCCAACCACTGCGCCACCAGGGAAGCCCCCTAATCTACTTCTGAAGACAAGACTATCACACTGAAATTCTACAGAAATCCTAACCCTGGCTCTGATCCTAACCCTAATCCCAATTCTAATCCTGAGTCTAGGTAGATAATTACTAATCTTAATCAAGTTATACAACTTACTTACGTGGCCTGAGCAATAAACCTAACCTCCTTGGATCTCAGTGTTTTCATCTTTAAAATGGGGATGATTATAGTAGAATATCATAGGGCTGTTGCGAGGATTAAGCATGATTCATACAAACACTTAACACAGCACCTGGCACACAATAAATGAATCAAATGTTAACCATTTTTGTCTGAACCTTAGTTTACTCATTTGTAAAAGGTATTTAAAATATCAACCTCGCTGGGTTGTTGTGAGGTTTAAATAAGATAATGAATGTTAAATACCAAGTACAGTGCCTGGTAGTTACCACCTGTTAGCTATCACTATTATACATATGTTGCCCTCCTCAAAGAGACAGGATAATGGGATAATGACACTGCATGGCTAACCTCGTACGATGGTGATCTAATGGGTGGTGTGGACGTGACTCTTCTTTTGCTGTATTTTGCAAGTGACTACCTAGAATTTTCAAAGTTGAGTCCAATGGTGGTAATGGATGCTGTGCCTAGCACAACCCCTGGCACAAAGCAGACACTTAATATGTTTTTAAGTTCTTTACTGAAAGAGTAAATGAGTAAGAAGCTTTCTTTCATACAGATATCCTGAAAGGGATGTAAGGGAAATTAAAGAAAAAAGAGCCAAGAGTTAGACTGTAGAGACGTGGCAGTGTGCAAAGGCTTATGTTTGCTCACAGAGCGGGCCTTCCCTGGACACTGTGGCCACCAAAGGGATTAGGAAGAGCTTGCCTGGGCTCCAGGGATAAGGCATTTCTGGCCTGATTCCTTGTCTCCTCACAGGGCTGTTCAGAAAGAGCACAAGGCAGGAATCAGAAAGCAGGAATTCTGATCCTGGCTCAGCCACTATTTATGACCTACTGTGTTTCAGAACAAACTTAAGGTCACCTCCCGGTCTCATTTTCTCATACACAGAACATGGATAAACACAGGAGCACCGGCAGTGGGCAGTGGAGGAGAAGCTGAAGAATCGTCTCTAAAAGTGTTTTGGTTTTTTTTTCTTTTTTAAATCTTTTTAACCGTGCCTTGTGGCACGTGGGATCTTAGCTCCCCGACCAGGGATCAAACCCGTGCCCCCTGCAGTGGAAGCGCAGAGTCTTAACCACTGGACCGCCAGGGAGGTCCCTCTAAAAGTCTTTAAAAATAGGGCAGAGATATTTACTTGTTCGTGATTTAGTAGCTGAAGTTTCAATCTTTTATTCCAAAGTCCTGGAAAATTGTATCATAATCACACAGCTAGGTAAGAAGGTATTGGTGGTACAGAATAAAAGGCAGCTATAAAGAAGTAAAAATTGCTCCAGTGTTCTGGAACTCATTTCAATAAGTTGCTAAGGAATAGAAAAGTCCTTCACTGTATTTGGCTGGGTTGAGGCAGGTGTGTGTTGGGTCGATAAGTCAATTCTAGGCTCCTAAAATTATACAGTTCTGCTTTCAAAGTCAAAGAGTGATTTTTAAAAAAAGAGTAGTTGATAAACCATAATGGAAAAGAATATGAAAAAGAATGTGTGTATATGTATAACTGAGTCACTTTTCTGTACAGCAGTAATTAACACAACATTGTAATTCAACTATACGTCAATAAAAAATAAATTAAAAAAAAAAAGAGTAGTTGAATAGGTCACTGAAGAATGGCTGTAAAGTTTATTTTCCTGGACTTCTTTATGAAGAGCTTATATAGCCATCTCTCCTGAAGGGTTCAGACAATCACCTGTCTGAATACTGGATGATAGTTCAAGGCCCTTTCTACTTCTATGTTAATGAATTGAGAAATGAGCTGTAAGCTGTCATTTGTATTAGTAACAAGAGGATAAAACTTTAAAATAGTCAAACCAATGTATTTGTGACATTAATTAATTTTTAAAAACATACAATTTTAGCATAAGTCTAATCTGATTTTCCTGGGCTGGGAACTCTTTGGACAGTTCCAAGCCCATACAACAGGACATTCCAGGCTATGACCTCAAACTGTCTTCTGTTCCCTAAGGGTGGGCTCCCAGCAGCCTTGTTTGTAGGAAGTGACCTTCTCTTAGTAGTTAGATGTCAGGATGCACACCTGACCTAAATCTAGATCCTGTCCTCCAGGAATA